TCCATCCCTCTAAGGTAGGCAAATTAGTACCAGACTTGTCTGGGATGATAGCAGCACTGGCTCGGTACATCAGTAGGCCATTGTGAGTCATTCCAAATGCCAGATATGCATTCAATCACCTCCAAACGATGCTTAGTGAAGTCGAATGCATGGCGCATCCGTCAAGGATTGATCAACGCCGAGAGCTTTATCCTTTATCCTTTTAATGTGGCATAGTCTCATGCAACCATCACCACTTTTTTCTGACAAAGAAAATTGAGCAGAGCGGACAGACTGCTTTCAATAATACTTTCACTGATGCTTTGGAATGATCGTCACTTCTAAACCGAAATGAGGCGATGCGGTGTTACATGATAAGCTCATAGTCATCTTTACACTGTTTTAGCTTTTGAAGAAAAAATAAAGCTGCCTAAACGCAAGAGGTCTGATAGAAACAGAGGAAGAAAGAATTACTTATTACAGAATTAAGCGACCACGTGAGAACACAACGAGATGCAGGGTTGCATGGTTTGGCAAAAAATTCCACTGTCATCGATCTGCGAGTACCACTATCCACCAAAAGAATAGCAACCGAATACAACAGAAAGGAATGAAAGAGAAGAGCATACAGGGCTGCTATACCGACAAAAAACAAGAAAATAGAAAGACACTACGTTGGTGCAAATCAATACGGGGTCTTCTTGCAACAAGCAGAAGTGCAAGAGAATATCGTGCAGGATGCCATCTCTGAACGTGTATTCAATGTCCAAGAAAACCGATACAAGTAGGTGAAGGGAAATTCAATTTCGGCGCTGGAATATACATAGAGCCTACTTTATCAAAATGAAGATTGGCCATCAGAGAAGGATTTACATACATTTCAGTTATGGGAAAGTCAACAAATCGTTGACTATCTTTAACGTTTTGTTTTCTGCCTTCTATAATTTTCATGGCAGATTACTAAGCGAAATACAACCACAACGTTGCTGAGATATTTGCAAAACTCTGGACCGCAGGTGTCTATGGTGGGGNCACCATGCGGCTCCTTCGTTTCGCCTCTCTCTTAGCTATTTCTATTGATCTTTGCCACAGCAATCACCCATCAGCGGGATTGATCTGGGGCGCCCAAATCGGCATAGAACCCAGTTAAGCTGCGGCCGTAGTTGAAATCACAATGTTATACCTGGTGGTGAACGCATTACTCCCCGGAAAGGACAATAGCGCGTTCGTTCCCCACCATAGACACCTGCGGTCCAGAGTTTTGCAAATATCTCAGCAACTGCCACGACCGACTTACTATTAATAATATTACTATTACTTATATACGAAGAAGATTATCTCAGCAACGTTGTGGTTGTAATCGTTGACTAATTCGAAGAATAATGGGAGGGAAGGAAGCGAATAGATGTATAGAACCTGTATCTGTTGAGGCTTCGCCATAAATCCACTTTTGCAGCTGGATACTGGTGGGGTGTCGATGATCCTTATCTATAGCACGGTTAGCAATCCCTTATTGCTTCTATTCATTCTTCGCAAACATACACCTTATCACAGTTTCTTGGCTCATGTCTTGATTTCCTTCAATGGAAGCAAGAATTCAGTATGACTTCGTCTTGTTGGGTTGTGTAGGTGCATTCTGAGGGGAATTGGGCGTTGTTTTGTACTTGTTGTTAAGATCTAATGATCCTTTCACCTCGTTTCCTTTTTCGAATTCCATCTTTGGTTTCCAGCAGTTCTTCCATTTTCTATGTTCTGTCAGATCCTCGTTGTCGTCTTTGATGTACCATTTCTGGATATTTCTTACTAACTTTCTAAATAGTTGCAGCCGCAGATATGTGTTTAGTTTGATTCTCCTTTTCGTTGAAGTTGGTTGATTATCACGAAGACAGACTTGCTCGGTGTTTCCTGGCCTTCCAGATGTTCACCTCTTGCTTGTTCTGTGTGCAGTGGATCCAGCAGTTCATTGACAGAGGTATATTTACTGTCGTATTTACTCCTCAAATTTGCTATTACTATTTAGGATGATTCTCATGACACTTCGGATTTGATGAAACCTTACGCCTTTCCCTGGAATTCGTCTATCAAAGAATTCAGCGTAGAATATTTATCAATTCGAGGCGACTTGTGAGTGGACTGAATTTCTGAAGGGCGCAAATGATGTTTGATAGTCCTCTATTTGTCCACGGAATTTTGTAACCGGAAAAGAGGACAAAGTGGACAGCTGTGTTCTTCGTGATCCTTGTCTTCATAACGCTAAATGTTTTATTGAGCTGGAAGAGCTAAAGAGTCCAGTGTAGTAGACTGCTGCTTTGTCGATTAGTTCGAGTATCTGTTCTACATCTACTAGGATTTTCCCTCTGATCTCTTGGAGCTATAGATAGAGTACGGGACTCGACGTCGTCTCCACCTGCATTGTGGTTCTTTAACGGTACTTCGATTCTGTCAATCTTAGCTTTGATTGTGACTTCTGCATGCTGTATTTTTCGTCGTAATGCCTTATCATATTCCCTTCCCTTCCCTTATCCTTTCTGGAGGACACAACTACTTCAATTCTTATTACCACCTCTTGGTCTGCTAACTGAACTACACCATAGTTGCGTGCCTCTAGTCGAAATGCTTTGGCAAGTAACGAGTATCGTTGTCATTTCTATGTATGCTTCCATCTTCACGAAACATTTATAACTACTGTGTATGATGAAAAGTCTCGTCCATCGTTAAATCGTGATACCGTTAGCTTTTGCTTTGCGATATAAAAAGTAAAAGTGTACACCATTCGGCATTCTGGCGTATATCTAGCCTATGTGATGACTTGCGGTGGTCAACCAGTATACGAAGTTAGTGCTAGTATCCTTCTCGACACAAGTGGAACGGAAGGCTTGGTGAGCCTGGGGCGTGGAGTTGAACCAGTGTATTTCAGGGAACCTCTAAAAACGAGCCACACACGCGCTACTAGAGATCTTCATATACCTTCTGTTTCCACCCGTATTGGAGCACAACAGAGTTTGGAACTTGTAACCTTGCCAGAGACTGGTTAGCAACAATCTCATTGGAAATCTAACTCTTGTAGAAATCACTTTTTCCGTAAAATACTAGAGTTAGAATACAGGTTTTCTTATTTGACGCCTAGTACAACATCTCTCGCAACCTAGTTATTGGTCAAACAAGAAATTTATGGCGGCAAGTATGTTGAGGTATGAACAGAACTCGGAACTTCAGGCAGGCTTCGAACCCACGATCACCTGCTGCTTCAGCTTACTTGGGTTCAATGCAGATTTATGCTCCCTAGATCATTCCACGCGTAATTGCTTACGGCATTGCTAAAGTAAAAAACTCGCTGAGAAAAATGCAAAGCAAGGTCCTCGGTAGGTGTGGGGGACAGCATGTGAGCCCATGGAAAGGATCAACGTGGGTTCGAAGCCAACCTGAGGTTCGGGGTTCTGCTCATATCTCAGCATCCTCGTGGTTCTATTTCACATAGTAACCCTCCATGAAGAAAGAATAAACAGTTAAAAAGAGATGAACAAAATTTATATCTGAAAAAAACTATTCTGCAATAATGTATAACTTTTTATTTACTACATATTACTGTTTTCATGGCAGGGTACTATGTGGAATGCAAGCATAATGTAGCTGAGATATTCGCAAAACTCAAACCCTGAACCCGTGATTATACTTTCCGAGACTCGCATGTTACCCACCACACCAGTAAGGCCTTTGATTTGCCTTTCTCTCAGCTAGTTTTGTACCATAACAGTGCCATCAGCAATCACCTATCTACGAGAACCGTTAAGATAGAAAACTGGCTAAGAAAAAGGTAAAGCAAGGGCCTCGGAGGTGCAGTGGGCAACATGCAGTCTGCTGAAAAGGGTAATCGCAGGTTTTAATCTCTCCTGGGGTCTGAGTTTTGCAAATATCTCAGCTTCATTGCGTTCTGCAACAGATTAAACCAGGAAAGCGATGCAAAAATGAAGTCAAAACATGATGGCCAATAGCCACATGAATGGATGAACTGCAAACTTTACTTCCACTGACTTTATTCGTCAAGTAGTAGACCTCCATGAATTGGTTGGTGCGGTTGGTGACCAGCAACGCGCATGGTAATGCCGACTGCCGATGAGTCAGCTGTGTCGGCACGACCGCCCGCCCACGACGATGGCTCTCGGGCCGCTGCTATGTTTCCTATTCTGAGGTGAATATTAGGACGTGTGCAGTTTTATCATTTCCACTTGTCAGATCCTATATTCCGAAGCTGTCGTATTGATTGACTCCGCTTGCCAGTAGCACACCGATCGATCGATTCGATTCAGCGGATAAGCAATCGGGCGTCCGACCTCAAGCATTCCCGTCGCAATGGTTTCGATTTTCGAGTGATTTCGAGCCTATCGACTTTTCTAATTATACGTTTGCCTTTGTATTTTTTTCATCATACTTTTTAAACTGGCTTCATGTCAGCTCTGTGTTGTTCCTACTACCTGGTACACCTTTTTGTTTTCTTCGCCAATTCGCTTTCTGGATTCCTGTTGTGTTCTGGGGATAATCGTTAGCCATTCAGTGTTTCATCTTAAAACCCTCTTAGTTCGAACGAGATTCCAATAGTTCAGAGAAGGACCTCTGTGAACGTTCTGTCAACAAATCTCTGCGCTTGGAATTTCTCATGCAAAAGGGTTAAATTTAGCAATTAATGCGCACCACTCGGAGCTAGATCACTTTTGGCAAAGACAAAGAGCGGTGCTGCTCATTGTTCCCATGCTAGGTACTTAGTAGTAATATAGAAGTACATTTATCTAGCGGTACTCACAACCAAATGCTGAAAGCGGACACATTTACTGAGGTAAGCAGTAAGTACTGCCTATCCGCTGTTATCGCCGCATCGAGCAGTTAGAATCACATCTTTTTTACCTTTTTCCTTTCTTCCGACAATCTTTCTTTTTTCTTCTTTTGTTAACCTTCTACCTTTAAAATCTTTCTTAACTGACAAAGATCCGTACCATTCTGGGAAATGTCGAATGTATTCGTGTCGAATGTCTCGCTGGCACCCGTGCGATTCCCTCTATTCCCTCTCAAAGTTCTGTTTCAGCATGGTTATGGAAGAAGAGACGGATATTAAGCTGAAGACGCGTTTTCTCGGACAGGTATTTTTGATCCATGCAAGATTTTAAACTGGTTTTTATCCACACTAACAAATCTAGAAGTTTGTCTTCTACATGTGTACAATATTGTCACATTGTCGATTTTTTCAAACCGAACGTAGAGCTGGTTGAGAAGGTGGGACTCGTTATTTATGCTGTTGTTGTGAGGCGAACATGTCATCTCTTCGTAGTATATATTCTTCTGGCAGCGAAAGAAGTTTCTTCCAAGAGCAGTAGTGTTGAGAATTAGATCTTATATAACGTTATGCAACTGAATTCCAACTTATGAAAGTGTTCGCAGTACAGATGTAGTACTACAGGTACTGGTACTGTACGCTCGTCCACCTCTTGTGTTTGACACGTTCTTCACGCTGTTGAAAGAAGCATGCCAACAACCAAGCTCTCAGCCAATCACTGTTAAATGGATCGATGAAGATGGTAAGGTGTGGAAAAAGAGATGTTTCTAGACCTCGCCAATCTCGTTAATCCAGGTGACCCGGTGTCGATCGATAGCCAACGAGAGTTGGATGAAGCCGTTCGCATCCTGCAACAAAATGGCGATGCAGAGCTCAATGTGCACGTATTCCTTGGTCAGCCGGCACTTCCAGGTTTACCTTGTGATGGCGAGGATCGTAAGTGGTCAAAGCATTAATGAAACATGAAACAGAAGTTGGCAGCGAAAAGCTCGAGCTAGCGCATTTCGCACATCATTGAACGTAAGCTGCTGGTGCGTTAGTTTTTATTAAGTGGAAAGTAACCTGTAGTACTGAAAATCATTGGCTCACAAGTTGTGAAGTGGAGCGCTTTTCTGTCGTGCGTTTGAGCTGCACAGTGAATCCACTCCAAGTAGTGCGAAGAGCATCACAGCTTTCCTCTTCCTGCACAGTTCCTAGTTGGAAATACCATTCTATACAGAACATTTTTAGATTAGCATGGCCCAATAGAACCATAAGCTTCCACCACCTAACAGTGGGCTCCATAGCTCTTGAACGTATAAAATTTCTAAATTATTAAAAGCAATCCTCCGTAAATTTATCCTATAAAGGATAGAAAAGCTCCCGGCATTGATCGATTCCGCAAGGATGCGCCATGCATTCGACTTCATTAATTATCGATGCAGGTGACTGAATGAATATCTGGCCTATAGAATGGCTCACGTTAGCCTACCGAAGTATCGAGCCAATACTGCTATCCTCCCGGGCAAGTCTGGTACTAATTTGCCGACCTCATAGAGATGGAAGGCTTTGTGAGCTCAGTGCGCGTGACGATCGATCCCGTTTTTATTGCAGGGCGCCTCCGACCACTACGCTGCATGCGCTCCAGATTTATTCAATCATCTCTGTATCAACTCTAGTCCCGTTGATCGTCGAGTGATTCGAGCGGGCGTCAGTAAATCTTCCATTTTTTCCCTGTCGTTTGCAAGAGTAGCCCAGTGGGTTCTGCTCGCTCTAGGGACTCGTCGAGCATCATATCTTTCTTTAAGGCTCTTCGTGAAGAACTCTGACCATGGGGCCGGTGGTCTTCCTGCAGTACGTTTGACATCCCAAGGAATTCAGTCACCAACGGCTCTTGTCCATCGGTTGTCATTCATACGTATTACGTGTTCGGCCCACCTTATCTTCGACTGCTTGGCGTACAGAACGGCAACTTTGATTTTTGATCGTTGACGCAGGTTGGGGCCTCGGATCCCATCCTTTACTTATGTGAAACAGGTCACCCCTAGCATCGTCCTTTCGACTGCGCGTTCGATAACGCTGAGTGATCCTGCTGATCATCCTGCTTACGTAGTGACCAGGTTTCTGACGCATACGTTAGGACAGAAAGTACCGTTGAGTCGAAAAGGTGGGCACGGAGTCGGGTGTTCTTTGTTCTTTTCACTACATCCTCGATGCTGTTGAAAGCTCCTCAAGCCGCTCGCTTCCTTCTGCTCAGTTTTCGAGCTAAGTCGTTCATCACATTGATTTCACGACCTTGATAGACATAGCTGGAGCATTCGGAGATATTCGTTCCGTTGAGCGTGAATGGGGCATACGAAACCAATGCGCTCCTCATGAACATCATTTTTGTGCGATTTAGTCGAAGACCAATCTTTCCACAGGTTTTATCAAAGTCGGTGAGCATTCGTTCCGCTTGGCTAATGTTAGGTGTTATTGGAGCGATGTCATCAGCAAAGCGAAAATGGTGTAGCTGCCGACCATCGATTTTCACTCCCATGCTGCCCCATTTCAGTGTTCGCATGGCGTTGTGAAGGGTGGCGGTAAATAATTTTGGCGAGATGGTATCGCCTTGCCTAACTCCTCTTTTGACGTCGATGTCAATATCGTTGTAGAATGGTGATATCGTGGTTGTGAAATTTTTGTACAGTTCACGAAGAATCTTTATGTACTGAGTAGGGACTCCTTAACTATCAAGGGCTTCCATGATTGCTTCTATCTCAATTAAATCAAAGGCCTCATTTAAATCGATGAAAGTGAAACAGAGCTCTCTGTACTCTCGCGATACTACAGTGAGTCTTGTTATCGTGTGGATGTGGTCCATCGTACTAAATCCTGTTTGCCCTTTTAGAAAAAATTTAGAAAAAACCCTGTTTGCTCACATGGCTGTCCTTCGTCCAGTGTTCTCTCAATCCTGTTTAGGACTCGAGTGAAAAGTTTGCCGACGACAAACAGCAAGCAGATTGGGCGATAGTTGCCGATATCGTGTACGTCACCTTTCTTGAGTAATGGCACGGCCTTGCTGGACTTCCACTGAGTAGAGACCTTGAATTCAGACGGGTAACGTGTGAAGAGCCGAGCCAATGTGTTTACAAGGACTGGTGGAAGGTTCTTCAGGTGTTCTGATCTTATCCTGTCCGGACCTGGTGCTGTTCGATTTTTTACCGACGAAGTGACATGTCGGATTTCGGATGGGTGAACCGGTGGTACAACATATCCATCCTCCTTTATTTCATATGACGGGAGGTGGAAGTGGTTATCGAAGCGATATGAGTATCTGGGAGTCGGAGCGCAATCATCTTGGTCTTGTAATTGGCAAAGCTTCGGTGGGCTTTGCGAATGCTTTTCCCAGCCTCTGCAGCTTCGACCATTACTGCTGCTCTTCTCTCTTTACGATCTTTTATCGCCAGTCTGCATTGTTTTGCAAGTTCGGACGTTAGTTCGTGGTTGCCTGCAGTTCGTGCGATTCTACGTTAGTGTATTAGCTCGAGTGTTTCTGGAGACAGACGTCACTTGGTGACTTTCGAACTCTGAGCTTTCATAGCGCTAACGTGAACATGCTAAATGAGCCGATTGTATTCTTCGTCGATGTTGTCGACAACGGAATCTTCCCAACAGCCGACTAATGAATTGAGTAAGTTCCAGTTTGTGGTGGTTCTGGGACTTAGGTTTTTGAATTTAGCGGCTTTTTCTCCTTTCCGCGAGAAATAGAATCTTGCAAGGAGACGGTGGTCTGATCCCGAGTAAAATTTTGGGACAACAGCGACATCGGTTAGGCAAAACCTTCTATTTACTATGATGTGGCCTATTTCATCATGGTACTCTCCATTGGGAGACTCCCACGTCGAGCGTTGAGGGTGGGGCTTCTGGAATTGCGGGTTACCATGGATGTTCTTGGTCGCTATGATAAACTCGGATAGCCGCTCACCCTGTTCGTTCCATTCTAATTTGGGTGCCAATGTGACGTTCTTCTTGGTCCAATCTTGCCATTGAAATCTCCAATGATGACCTCGAAGAAGGTATGGTCTTCTCTGTAGAACTTCTCCAAGTCCATGTAGAACGCTGCGACTTCTTCTTCGTCGTAGTTTGATGTCGGACGAAGATTGTCAGAGCCGGTATTGATCCACATCTTCTTAATCGTAAACGTCCGATTCGGGTTGTTAGTTTTTGGAATGAATCAATGTTCATGGACAAACTCGTGTTGACGAGAACGCCGACGCCGCCGATTCTTGTACTGTCGCATGTTCCGAGGAAGAGGGAATGAGGCCCGTTTTTTTTTACTATGTTTGGCATTTTGATACCCACGTATAGCTTGCTGGACTCTGAACGTTGGTGTTGGGTATACTGACGGGTAGCTTGCCAGGCTCTCCTGAGATGGACATGGAGCTTATTTGTTGGAGGCGACTCCGAACCACCTCTCATATACTTCCCTATACTTGATTGTAGGCTTTTGGCCGAATTAACTCGTAGAATACAATCTGCACAAACTAGAACGCACCCAACACGCGTGCATGAATGCTCCTCGTAAATACAGAAAGTATGTACCAAATCGGTGCAGCAGAAACAGGTAGTCCGTCTCCAAGATCTACTTGGGTCTCAGGGAATCAAAAATCGCTTTTGGTCGGCTATTAACCCCCTATCCGCCACCTAGAGACGCGCCACGTAGTCTCGCGACTAGCCGGCTTTGTGGATTTATTCAATACTTTGGTTAAATATCTGCGAAATGGAGAATAGCGATAAATTGACACTGAGGAATTTCAGGAAACGTGTATCGTAGAGGTGCTCGTCGGTGGAAGAAGGTATATTTGTTCAATGGTCATCGTTTCCAGGCTAAACGTCTCAATAGGTCGAGCATATTCTTCCTAGCTGTTTTGGTGTTCGTCTTTTTCTTTTCTTCAATATTGCCTTTGTTTCTTTAAGGAGGATTCAGTGTTTTATATGTCATGACTACATATGGGGTATTGGTCGCCAAGGCTATAGATGTGCCGACTGTCGCCTTTGTGTGCACAAGAAGTGCCATCGGTTGATCAGATCTGCTTGCGGTCAGGTACATAGTATTGCCTATTAGGGCTATTTTTTGCTCGAATAAGTGGTGTTGTTTTTGGCGTATTCTCATTTTGTAATGGTGTAACTTTAGTCGTTGGAAACGTCTGTCGCCTCTTCACAGCAAAACTGTCCTGCTTTTCAAACGAATATCTATCAAGGCAGTACCCAAAATGGCGGGGATAGGTCTTCGTATAGCGGGTTGGATAACAGTGGCTTTCAAGAGGCTGAAGTCGATTCGTCTCATCAGACTTCGTATTTAACAGCTAACGTACATTCTATTATTATTTTGTAGACGTTATGATTCCATTTTTTTTTGTACGGAGCGAGGTCACATTGACTCCGATGTTTTGTTTCTTCACTTCATTTTTTTTGTTGATCCCGTATTCCACTGACTTTTTTTTCAGTCTAAGGATAGTCCAGTTGCGAGCAAATGGTCTGTGTCCTTAAATGATTTCCGTCTTCTAACCGTCATTGGAAGAGGGTCATACGCGAAGGTCTGGTGTGCTTTCGATGTTTCCTTTTTCTTCGAATTAGGTATAGAGCCGATCTTATCAAAATGACTAGAATAGCCTAAACGTTTTTTATCTGTAAACTGCATAGAGATTAGAAATTTTTCTTTATGTAATCGGGGCTGTTCTCCCAATGGTTTACCGCCTCATCGTGGCTGGGAGGTGTTCCTGGGTGTCGGGCTGCGATATACAGCGGGGGATTCATCCTCCCGTCAGTCTCCCGAGCTGAGAAGGAGTCCGGTTTTCTATCAGAAAGCGCAGCCAAAAGTAAAGCAATACCAGGATCCACCACCGTCCTAGTATAGAATTGGTCACGTAGTGGCGAAGCTCCCTCTGATCCACAAAGGCTGCGACTGCTTGTGGTGGTGACGACCCGGGACAGACTTGCCCAGACTAACCTCGGGACTTCAGGAAACACAATGACTAAGCCAGCAAAACTCCGAAAAATAGAGAACATAGTGGCGCTCGCACAACCAGTGATGACGGGCCGTTTAAGTATCCAAGTAAAATCGAGGCTATCACTTCTCTTTCACATACTCACCGTTGTAACCTGCATTTTTTCTCCTTGTCCAGTTATTAAAGTCCTTTTATTCAATTAATTGCTATCTGCTGTTGTACTACTCTGCTGTGTGCTCTCAGTTTATCTATTAGTCTTCCTATACGTAATTCGTCTGTTCTATTTTCTACTATTTTTTACTTTACAGGTGGTGCAAGCGGAGCATATTAAGACTAAGCAAGTCTATGCTATTAAAATTATAAAGAAGCAGATGTTCAATGAAGACGAGGTCTGTCCTTCTCTCTTGTTTTCCTTTTTGTCTTTCATCTTTTGTTGTCGCTGGGAATAGAATCTGTGTTGTTTTTAGGACATTGACTGGGTACAGACCGAGAAATCTGTCTTTGAAGCTGCTTCCAATTATCCTTTTCTAGTCGGCTTGCATTCGTGCTTCCAGGTAATGTTATCAAATAGGGCTTTTAAGTGTATTAAAGTGCAATATCAACTTTTATGTGCTGCCTACTACAATTTCTTACGTCAGAGTATTATGTGTGACACAAACACAGTGATGCTGAGATATTTGCAAAACTTCGGACAGCAGGTGTCTGCACTGGCTGATAGAAAACTATCTGAGAGACAGGGGAAACGAAAAACCCTCATAGTGTGGTGGTGAACGCGTTAGCCTACGGAAAGGATAATAGCGCTCTCCTCACCGCAGACATCTGCGGTCTGGAGTTTTGCAAATATCTCACTAGCATTGTGGTTGTATTAAAGTAGATTTCTATTGGCATTGTTTTGGTGGGAAATTGTCTAGTTAAAATTAGATATGGAGAGTCATTTGTTGAGTTTACACTTAGTTTTACAAGGGAAATCATTTAAATCGTCGATTGCCTTGTGATTTGAAGCCCTATGACCATGAACAGTAAATCGTTTTACGAAGAATTGATTTTGTATTCTCTTGAACTATAAGAGAGGTTTGGAACTGCTGATGGTCACTTTAGTAGTTTGTCTTCCATATCATTCGTCATTTTGCAGACAGAGTCTCGGCTCTTCTTTGTTATTGAGTTTGTTCCTGGTGGGGACCTAATGTTCCACATGCAGCGCCAGCGAAAGCTTCCAGAGGATCATGCACGGTGGGTTCTTCTGACTTCCTATGCTCTTGGTGCTCCTCTTGTTCTGCAACATTCCACATTGACAGAATATCGCGCGTATCCTTGTTTTTCGAAGAAATTGAATCTTTTCAGTTTCCGTGGAAACAGTCGGGAAATTAATTTATCGTCTAGTCTAATTCCTGTAAAATAATTTCTTCCTCATAACATTTAGCTGTCTTTTCAGTTTTTACTCCTGCGAAATTATCCTCGCTTTGCATTTCCTTCATTCACGTGGCATTATCTATCGTGATCTGAAGCTTGACAATGTCCTCATTGATGCGGAGGGACATGTGAAGTTAACGGATTATGGGATGTGCAAGGTATTTCATCACCCGAGTTTTCACATCTCGAGTCGTAAAAAGCTTATATTACCTCTTTGTTTACATTTAGGACTTTAGAAGTAACTGTTCTAGGAAGATTTTTTTAAGTTTTAGGAAAACATTGGACCTGGAGATGTCACCTCAACGTTTTGTGGTACCCCAAATTACATTGCCCCCGAAATTCTTCGTGGTGAAGACTATGGATTCAGTGTCGATTGGTGGGCACTTGGAGTGCTTATGTGAGTACCTCTCGGACGCTTTGAAAAGGAATAGCGTGTTCAGTTGTATTTTCTGTGTCCTATAGATTTTTTAAAATGAAAAAATAGGAAAAATTTCCGAAATGTCGTGATTAGTTCATCCGGAAGAGAGCAAAGCGCATCTGCTGAAAAAACACGAGAGATCTGATTCTCAGATATGTCTATGCTATGTATGAAATGGTAGGGAGTGTGTGTAGCGCAGTGGTTGGATGCTTCCCTTCGTCCCAGCCCCGCCAAGCCGTCCATCCCCACGGGGTCGGCAAATTGGTACCAGATTTGTCTGGGAGGATAGGAGCACTAGGTCGATAAATCGGTAGGCCACCTCGAGTCATTGTAATGGCCATATATGCATTCGGTCACCTCGAACGATCCAAGAGCTTTGTACTTTATCTTTTTAAGGTACGAAATGATGGCTGGTCGTTCTCCATTTGATATCGTCGGGTCTACTGGCGATCCTGATCAGAACACTGAAGATTACCTTTTTCAGGTATGTGATTGAATGTTCCTTATTTTGTGTTGCTATTTTAGGTTAATGTTCATTGGTGAAATATCATTTTCGTTTTTTGTTCAGTTTCATTTTGCAGATAATTCTTGAGAAACAAATAAGGATTCCTCGTAGTTTATCTGTCAAGGCTGCGTCTGTTCTAAAACAGTTTCTAAATAAGGTCTGTTATCAAAAAGGATTGTTCAGCTTGAAAACAAAGAAAATATGTACTTTTAACTGCATGAGGGCTTTTTAGGATCCTTCAGAGCGTCTCGGATGTCGACCAGATATTGAGGAGTCGTTGGTAGAGATGAAAGAACATCCATTCTTCAAGAACTCTTTTGATTGGGATGCTGTAAGTCCAGTTTTATAAAGCAAGGTCCTTTTTGGAGATTTTTGGTTGAAAAAATTCGCTTCTGTGCGCCAGGAGTACTATTGGTATAAATACAAAATGATTTGGAACGTTTTAGTTGGAACAGAGGCAAGTAGCTCCTCCTTATAACCCTTCCGTGAAGAACGATCGTGATCTGCAGCATTTTGATACTCAGTTCACAGATGAAGCTCCGACTTTGACTCCAGATGACCCGAATGTCATCGCAAAAATTGACCAAAGCGAATTTGATGGATTCGAGTATGTGAATCCATTACAGATGAGTAGAGAAGACGCCGTTTGAACTGGAATTTCACAGCCGTTTTCTTGAAATATATACTTGTACTCCACATGGAATATCTCTCTTTCGTTTGTTAAAATGCATACTACTTATGGCATTCACTGCCCAACTCGATGTTTAGTTGTACTTCGCAACGTCTAATCTCTATTTTAAAAGAATATTCCAATCTTATAATATGGTCTTATTACCGTAGATCTTAGCAACTAATGGTTCTACTCAAATATTTTATCTTATCAATAGTTCTTTTCCCTATAACATGTTCAGATAGCATTACTAGTTGGGTGCCCTGCAAAACACACAGTATTGTTGGTTCGACCCCGAGCGCGGGACAAACGAATCTGCCCACCCCCTCCGGCATTGGTTCATGCTCTCAGTTGTCTAGTATAAGCTTCCCAATCCTTATCGAAAACTCATTGAAATCTGATAACTTGATTAGGCGGTATTATTATATTACTCCTCCCTAAATTTCAATTAATTGGCTTGTTTAATCTTTTTTCTGTGATCCTTATTGTGATGTTATCTGTTTGTCAAACATCTACATACGTGTCAGTCAGTGTACGTGAATATAGACTTCATTGTTTGACTTTTAGTCATTCACTCAAACCTTTGGACAACTGTACTTTTCAATTTTACATTCGGTTGCCTTGCCTGAGAATAATATTTCAGCTCAAAAGCTTTCCTCCATAACTAGCGTTGGTGCAGCCTAATCTTACCGCAAAGGGATTAGCCTAACGGCACTAGTGAATTCTATAGTTCACACTGGTTTGTGTTGGTAATACCAAACGGATTATTTGGCTATTCGGAGTAATTTACATTATGTAATGATTCCATGGAACTTACTGCACTTACTGACGACGAGTTAAGAGGGTGACGAATGGCTGGATTTTCACAGTTTTCATGATTCGAAGTCCTACTGTCAGATGTGAGAATGACGGCCAGTTATAGTAACACTGAACCAGGGTAATACAGCATGTTGCATTGGCAAAGCAGTTCACTGGCTCCCAGTGGAATAAATACAGTTTCGAGTTTTCACAGACTTTTTGTAGGTGAGTAATTCCATCTATGCGTTCGTATTCTGTATTAAAAAGCCTGCAAGAAAGGTGTGATGCTCATCGAGTCCCTAGAGTGGGTAGAACCAACTGGACTACTCTTGCACGCGACAGGGAAAAATGGAAGGTTTACTGGCTCTGACTCAAGTCGCTCGACGATCAACAGGAAGACAGGTGATACAGGTGACAGGTTACTATGTGTAACATGCAAATTCTGGATTTTATTTCGGTGATTTTGTTAGGGGTTTTTTGTGTATCGTTCTATTTAAGGAAGTATAGTTATCGTGTATTGTATTGTCCAATAATACCTGTTTATGACTAAACAATGGTGCTGGTAATGTGTTTTTGATAGAAAATAGATGGCATATTGCTTATCTGTTTCGGTGATAGAAGACTTGTAGTCTCATATGTACAGTGTGAGCAAGGGTTACGCAAAGTAGCTTCCTTCCGTCGTCTTTGTTGAAGTTCTCGTCAGGGCTGCCATATCAGTCTGTCAGGATTGATAGTAGAGGACCAATGGGCAAGAATCGTATGTTCTAGTAAGTCGGTAAGCAGTGCATATGCGACAAAGGAAAGGTGATAGTGAAATGTAAATGTTATCACGATTGATTTTCTTCCACGTGTCTGCCATTGTTTGTAGATCAGCGACAAAGAACGGGAAGAGTGGGCGTTCCAAACAGCAGTCAGCAATAATGAATGTGAAGACAAAAGATTTATACGCGATGCACCAGGCAGCAATATATCGGCCGATGACAGAAGTAGAAGTGTTACCGTATTTCAATAGCTTTTTAAGGCGAAATCAACGGTATCTCGCTTGAAAGCGTGTGAGATCTTCGAGGTCTCCCATCTAGAGGTGTAGCTGCTTGAAACCAGGATTCCCTTCCAGAGCACATCTACGAATGTGACCATTGGAATATTTCGTTAAGGACTTGTGTTCTGCCTTGTTGCTTCAGTCTAGACTCGTTCATATGTGCTTCTTTGTTTAAAAGCATTGGCTCGATTTAATGCGAAGGATTAATGGCCTGCTCTGGAAGGAGGCGATCGTCGAACGGACTCTGCCTGCCAGTCAGCAGACGGACAGACTCGGACCATTGCACAGAGCGTGCGAACTCACGAACAGACCATCGGGAAGGGCAGACTGGGCTATCGACAGGCGGCGAGCCTCCGCACCCCGTCCCGCCGTCCGGGCGGAGTTCCGTCTGCACTGCCGTCCGAACGACACCGTGGTCGCAATCTGCAGTGCTATCAACAGCCGTAACACGATGGCCGCCGCCACCCAGGATGCCGCCGACCCGCTGCTCTATCGCCTTCCCGAGTTCCCATCAGGTAATCCCGTTCGTTCGAAATACCGCCATGGGTGTTTGTAGTCGCTCAAATCATCGCTGTCGATTAGCTTTTGAAGTGTTTTCGGCAGTATTCTTGACGTATCAATTAGTCACGAAGGTGTAGTATACAGAAACATTTACTGTTCTACAGATATCACAAAGTAGAATTATCAGAACGCTTCCAGGAATCCCCCTATCTGCAACTCCAGTGATGACTCCATGTGATTCAGACAGGATTTCGGCTTTGATATCCATTAGTGGGTCAGTATGCTTTTTAAATCAGTTCTTGTTTCGTTTCTAATTTCCCCCGTATATGCACACTGCTGGCACTTGTTCCAAAATCATCGTCGTGTAAGTCGGGAATGGAAGTTTTGTTGAATCACTTTCTCTGTCTGCACGTCGCCGGTAGTTGGCGGAAATGCCGCGTGTCACGAAAAAAGTATCTGATACCATATTTCATTAGTTATTGCAGTTTTGCTAAAACAAGCGCGAAACCATATTTCATCTCTGGTTGCGGTTTTTTCGAAGCAAGTAGGAGATGGACCACATATCACCGATCATCTTCGAATCTAATATTAAGTGAATAGATAGGTCTAAAAAGGGATAAAGCACTCGGTGTTGACCAATCCCTGAGGGATGTGCCATGCATTCAACTTCATTAAACATCCTTTGGAGGGTATTGAATGCATATCTGGCCTTTACAATGACTCGCGGTGGCCCACCCTACTCATGGATGCATCGTGCCAGTGCTGCTATCCTCCCAAACAAGTCTACTACCAATTTGCCGATCCCGGAGAGATGGAAGGCTTGGTGTGCCTTGGGCGCGAGGATCTATCCCATCTGTATTGCAGGACGCCTCCGACCATTGGACCACGCGCGAACAGATGGATAGTCGACCAATTCCCGCATTTGGTATGGAGTCCAACACTTTTTCACTTGGATTTTCTCTTGCAACCGGGCTTTAGAAGGTGGTCGGATTTAAATATATGATCGGCTGCGGTTTAGCAATGTGCCATCTTTTTTTTTTGCTTGGATGCTGAATGGGGATTGAACGTGGTTGTTTGGAATCTCATGACAACTGTATAGGACGCTCCTAGGTCATCATCATTAATGACAGTGATCAACAATTCTGGATTAAAGAGAAGGCTTTCATCTTGTAGCTAGAATTCTTTCAGCCTGCTTCGAGTTCACCAAGCTCCTGATTCATTAAGGGTTGGGAAATTACTACCAGACTTGGCTAAGCTCGGCTTGTTCTCTTCAGTCCCAGCAGAGACGCTCTAGCACGGTTATCCTAGGATACAAGAGAGAATCGGCCCGAAGGTTTCCAACGATATTCATGAAAAAGTGGAAAATCGTTAAGTAGCAGTCGAAACCACTCACAAAAAAACCTTGGTGGATGAAGGTTACGAGAAAACGAATCGAATGCAAGAATTGCTGGGATTCGTCCGGTAGATTTATGAGAAACCATCTAAAAATAAAACTAAAAAAGTTTTGCATATATATATATATATGTATCAACATGCCATATGTATGCCGAATTCGGCATAGAAGTTGTACGGTTTTTATTCTGGTAGTTATGGTTAATATGGAACTTTCTTTCAATTAACTTTACGAAAGCTTTTTTTGGAAGTGTTCTGCCGACTATTCGAAAGCTTTTTTAGTGCGGCTTTCCCGGCTTTAGTAGTGGGTGGTGAACCTCGCATACCGGTTCACCTCCTGTTTAGCCGAGTTTTGGCTACCCAAGCAGTTAGCGAAGTGCAAACTTTGATGGGTCAGTTTGTGTACTGCATATTTCATCAGGGTGAAGCATTTCATAGCTACCTTTCAGACGACCTAAATATTCATAAATCACTTGCGAGCAGCGAACAGACGGAGCGTCTTCGAATGTTGGATGTAGAAGTTTCGAGCACGCACGACTGCTCGAATATGAATTTAATGACTCGATCTGATGCGGAGCGTGTTTGTGGCATTCTGCGCATAGAGAGCGACTGTTCTTCTGGAAATGAACGAGCTGTGTAAGATTTATAAATACGCATAAGTGGCGCTTTATGTCGTTGCCAATTTTCATTACTCCACTTCTTAATCATGTAGTGGAACGTGTGCAGTAATGTGGAAAGTGCAGGCTTTGACTCTCAATCTGACTTCTGCATGATTTTTGGATTTTTTAGGTCACTGCAGATGTATTGTCAACATTTGGTGCCCTAGCAAATATGTAATTTATAATTTTCTCATATTTATCTCGCGTGACCCGATTTGGCACGTTATGCGAATCACCTCACTTCTTCAGTCCGCTCCGTTTCGTCGAATTAGTATTTCACAAAAGGCTTCACACTTTGCGTCTGGGTTCTGCCTCTGCTTGAAGATTTTTGATCTTTATCAACATCATTAATTACTCGTTGAATCAATTATCCCTGGAATCCTGTGACAGCTACCCTAGAGTGTTCACATATCTTAATCACGGACAGTCCACAGGTTTTGTGGACTGGAGCAAGTGGGGTGTTCACAGGGAGTTCTGACTTGTTTTCCTAATTTTGAAGGAGTGAGAGTCTTTGTGGGAGCATTGCGGATTCGAAAAACTCCTAACCCGTATTGAAGTGCATCATCACCACTGCGTCACCCACGCCCAAGTTAAGGTGTAATTATGACAGGAACGTGGAAATCCATAAATAAGATAGATATCGGTTTTAACATCTTTGACTTGTTTTTCTTTGAAATATACTGACTTTGTGAGCAACGCGGTTGTCAGATTTGAGATTTCTGCTGTGCTGTTCTCGACTTTAAATCATCTAGAATACTTCAAATAAGCTGGGGAAAATGAATGTGGACTACCTTACTTTCTTTTTAAATGTATGGAACGTCAGGTGTTCCAACGTAGATTGTCATTTCACTTAGACCACACACTGACTTGGATATGAGAATTGAGCTTGCAGTGTTTTTCTGAGTTTAAACACATGCATAAATGTGTCTGAATTTGGCCAAACATATTAGGGTGTGGACAGTTTTCGGAGAAGAAGGGCCAACATTTGACTTCCTTTACGGTGCATTCATTTTTGAAGTCACTCATGCACTTTCTAATTGACTTTTTTATACTAGGTCAGGTTCAAATTAGTGGGTGACCTCGCGTAATACAATTTTTTACCTTTATTATCTAGTCCTTTATTCTTCAAATTTCGCACTTCGTATTTAGTGCATATTTTCGCACTGTATACTTGCATTTGCACTCATAATATCATTATCAGGGGCGGATATCACAGTGGTAGTGATGTCCATCATCACGGGTATGGTTCTAGTTCGATTCCGCTGATTCCACTGTGGGCCAACCAAGGCACTCATACATCCGGGGTCAGGAAATTGGTACCGAACTTGTCTGGGAAGAAGTCACTCTCTGCAATCCAGTTGGGAACGCCGCAGCCGGACTTTCTGAGGACTCCAGAGAGAATTCTTCGACCAGCATTTTATGATATCCATGATGAAATGAAAATCCTCAAGCTGCAGCTGAAACCACACGTAAAAATTGGAAGACCTTAGTCGATTATGGAAGCGAGGAAGCGAATCGAAGGTGAGAAGTACTGAGATACGCAGACGTGAAGACATGTTATTTAAAAGAAAAAATATCATTGTCGCCGTTTCTGATGGCCATCCAAAAAAAATTTATGGCTGGATTTTTTTATTTTTTTTTTTATTTCTGGAAGTGATACTCTCGCTGCTTTATACGGAAGCTCTTCATTGAACGGTTTTAAGCGAGGAATCGGATCGATTATCTGTGCAGCACAATATGTTCGGTACGGTGAAGGGTTGGGTTTATCCGTCCCGAAAAGGCGGACGAAGTGTGAGGTGCGAGAAATGCCAGTGCTTCTTTACGCCAGCGGATTTCGTTGCTCATTCACATAACGCGGATAAGGAATATAGGCGGTACGTTCTTGATAAGCATGACGTTCATGTTTTGTCTCGATTTTTATTATTTTTCAACGAAACTTACAGTGAGCGGCACTTTTAATTTTAATCGGATGATTCACCTGTTATAGCGAAATGAAATAAGCGACACATTCGCTACAATACGCCCGCTAAGAATGGCTAGGTACACTTCCCATTGAGCCCATTATGTTTTTCTTTGGTGGTTTCTTTCGCCCGGAATAGTTTCTTTTTTTATGGATTTTGGGTAGGTATGGTCCTAAAAAGTATTTCTTTGAACTCTTAATATTGTACAAAAACTAATTTCCTGAGGAGTTTGTTTATCGAACCGCAGGAAATTTTGCTGCAGAAGTGTACGACGATGCCTCAACTGGATATATTTACAATGCAAATACAAGTAAATAAGGCTCGCAGAACTGTTGTACTGACAAAGAAGGACAAAGGTTGTAGTTATGGAGGGAGATATCTGTTGCATTTTCGAAGGGGTTGCGCACAGAGGTCATGGCAGTCTGCAAAAGACGAAAATTTCGACGTCATCAAATGTCTGGGCAGTGGAAATAGGCGTTGTTGCAAATGTGTCGGAAGGAACCTCATGTATTACTTCGGTTTATGACGGAAACGTTTGAAATTGAGAATGTTTCTTTTCAGAACTGTACACTGGGGATTTGATCCATCAAACTGGCGTCTCATGTTGGAATTGGTGAAGCCTTCTTCTGAATATAGTATCAATGTAATACGATGGAAAGAATTCATTGATGAGCCTGTTGAAGCGTCTCATTGTCTAGCGGGCTGTGAAACTTCGACTGGAAATTCGACTAACAAGTTTAAGCGATCATTGGTAGACAACTCTGTGGTATGTCTTTCCGTGCCTCTTTTTTCTAAGTTCATCTTGAGCTATAATTATATCGCAGTTATAATATGCGATTATAGCTATAACTAATATGAAATTAAGTGTGTTTGGTAATACTGAAAATTATAGAGAATTTCACACTGCTTCAAGTGCACAGATCTCGCCTCACAGTATGTAATACGGGTTTAAAAAACCCTCAGAATGTAAATGTTTTTCCATAGTACCGTTTACATTCATTTATTTTTTACTATATTTTTTTTTATTTTTCTCAATAGTTTACCGCCTCATCATTGTTGGGAGGTGTTCCTGGGTGTCGGACTGCGATGTACAGCGGAGGGATTCGTCCCTCCGGTAGGGTCTCCCAAGCTGAGAAGGAGTTCGGCGTTTCCATCAGGAAGCCTAGCTACGAGTAAACCAATACCCAGATCCACCACCGTCGTGGTATCAAGGTCGCATGGTGGCAAATCTCCCTCTGATCCTCAAGGGCTGCGACTACTTGCCGTGGTGACGACCTAAGGCAGACTTTGGCCAGTTTGTCTTCGGGATTCCAGAGAACTACAATGGCTTTAACCAGCAAATCTCCGAAAAATGGTGATTATGCCCGCACAACTGGTGATAACGGGCCATTCAAGTACCAAGTATTTTTTATTACATGACGCGTCATCACGTCCACTTTGCGGATTCCACCAATCCCTGTATTCGGCTTGCTTTTCGAATCCGTCAACGACGAAAGTTTCCGAATATGCCGCTTGTTGCCTCGGCTGCTGCGGTTTTTTTCTTCTTTATGAATGTCGTAGCATACTGGTCCAGTCGATTCTCCTTGTGGTTTTGGAGGTAGCCGAGCTTAGTCGTTCCAGCGTAGCTTAGATGAGAGCATTGAGGGAGTAGGTTGAAGCAGAGCCTTGTTTTCTGGTGGAGTGTATCACTAACCACTCCACTAGACCTCTCACTCATTTATTTTAGTGGGTAAAATTGTCTGTGGAATAAAATTGGAAATCTAGGCGCTTGAAGAGAAGGCGTTTGAAACCAGCGGCGTTCAGAATTTGTTCAAATTGGTAAACTGCTAATTTGCAAACGAATGATTCAATTAGCACGACTAAACTATGAGCTTATTTCTGAGGTATACATCAAGCACGAAAAGTGCCCTTTTCTATCAAGGTGAATCCGGAAACTCATACTGGATTTCCTTGGACATTTCAAATTCTCAAAAATATTTCTTCGTGGTGGTTTCAACGGAAGTGAACAATTTGAGACCAACGTTAATTGATTTCCACTCATACGTGAGAACAGAGCGGCGGACGAGCTGTACTTGTACACTGACGTTCAATAATTGGGGCCGTCGCACAACGGCAGAACACCTAAAGCTCTCATTTTCCTTCCGGTGGCTTATTTTAACACGTAGAATTATTCCTCTGCACTGTTTTATTATCCGTTGATAACCTGCAGAATACAGTTGTATTGCGCGTTGGTCGAGAAAACTATCCTGAACTTAGAAAATATACAAAAAATGGTTTTTCCAAATAAGTTCACTAACCAGAAATCTGGTTGCTTTCGACTACTATTTTAGTTTTACCTTTAGACATCTGAATGTTCTTTTCTTTTGAGGATTTGAATCGTAAATTAATTTGAAATTAGGAGAAATGGGTGGGAAAGTTACATGTACCTTTAGATCCGTTAGAATTTTCGTTAGAAAAAAAGGATCGATAGATCAAGGTATCTTCTACGGGTCTATTAATTTTTCAACCCTTCGAGTGATGTAATTGTGGAAAAACAGGTACCCTCCATTACATGTTAAACTACAGTGAGTTTGTGATATCGAAATATCCCAATACATGTTTTGAAACGGACTTCGACAGTATCGCGACTACGTGGTGAACCAAATTTTTTTTCTTTTCACAGAAGTGCTAGAGATGTTCCAAAAGTACGAAGGATAAGAGAGGGCTCTCGGCGTTCATCAATCCCTGAAGGATGAGCCATGCATTCGACTTCTTAAAGGATCGCTGGAGGTGATTGAATGTCCATCTGGCCTGTACACTGGCACACGATAGCCTGCCAATGTATCAAGTCAGTGCTGTCATCGTCCCGGACAAATCTGGTACACCACTTTGCCGACCACGGAGAGATGTAAAGCTTGGTGAGCCTTGGGCACTTGGATCGATCCCATATGTATTGCAAGCCGCTTCCGACAACTGCCCTATGTCCAAAAGCATAGGACAGCAAATGGAAAAGCCGACGCTGAGCATACAAAAAGCGCACGAATTATCAGCTAAAAACATGGAACTGAAGTTATAGAGGGAAAAGTGGGGGTTCAGAAAAAAGATGAATCCGACTAACCGCCATGGTTTGAAGGAACCGAGCATCCTAGCACGTGCCTTCCACATGAAATTAGTTTTCAGACTCTCATATTGTCATGGAAATGTAGTAGAGGATTTTCATTTACTGTGAACCGAATATGCAACGTGGCTTTCTTTCCATGCCGCGTTAGTTTGCAGAAGTCTTTTGGCACTTCAAGAACGTTCGAAGATAACAATGTCTGTAATTAGTTCAGATAAGACGAATCCGGTCAAAACGTAGCAGTGTATAGGGTAGTGTTTCGTGCAGAGATCCCTTAAATCCAAATGAATACGTGTCAAAGGCCTGAAATCTGTATTTTCTAACATTATGGGCATTTTTTAACACATTGGTGGCCTCTTGAATTGATTTCATTGTATGCAGGACTTACGATGATGCTACCTTCTGTCTTTAAATAAGGTTACATAGGCTGATAGTAATCTTAATTGATTTAAATGAGATATTAATCTTTTTATAGCAGAGCTTTTCATGCTGTAGTTAATGGAAGACAGAGCGTTCGACGTTGGTTAGTCCCTAAGTGCGCCATAAATATCGTAAAGGTGACCGAATGCACTTCGTTCCAGCCAAGTCTGATAAGAATTTGCCGACCCTGCAGTGATGGAAGGCCGGCGTGTGAGACTGAACCAGCGATCGTTGCAGCGTCTATTGTAGAGCATTGTAGCTCGACCCCTGCGCTACGTGCGCCCACGTGGTGCCATAGATTTGATTTTTATATAGGCAATAAATCACTGCTTTTTGCTTTATTCGTTGGGTCTGTTATTTCGAACAGTGATATGGTTGAGCATGTTTTATTTTTTCCGATAGATCATGATATGTTGCCTGAATATGACTGATATCAGCGGTTTCCTCATATTTAACCAATGTGATCAATGAAATGAAAAGTGTATGTGAAGTCTTTCCTATACGTCTGTGGAGTCCTCGACCTCCCAATCACTGTGATTATCAAGAATTATCGGCAGATTTAGAAAAGTTGGCTTGCACGTCGTTGTTTTTCGATGCGTGGAAGCGTTCCATCTACATTTAACTCAAAGGGCCACATAAATGGTTGTTTCCACGTTTCGTGATGATGTTTCCAAGTAATAGGAAGATCTTACTCGATTTTATCTACCGTTTTAGTTTAAATCGATTGGCACAAAGGTTTTCAAATCAATATCTTTCTATGTAATTTATTGTTTGCTTAGTGAGCACGGACGGTGTTACAGCAATATTCTCCACGGTGAATAAAGTTTCGATGGGATGTCGCCTTCTTAAAAGTTTCGAAGGGTAAAGTTGACCTGCAGTGTAACAGCCAGATACTTCAACAACTATAGAAATACTTGACCCTAAAATTTCAGTGGCATTCCTTAGACACACCGTTTTCTATGAGTCTTCCACTTTTCCATTTATTGATGGAGATCATTGCCGAGTTTAATCGGAAGTCGTTGTGGGAATTACTGCATAAGTAAGTTAGGAAGACTGCTTGTGCTCCATTATGCACCGTTATTCCACGCTTTTTAATATTAGGAGCAGTGTGTTCTGAATTAATGAGAGTAGACTGTGGAAAATTAAAGGTAAGTGTTCTCATAAAAACAAATGAACAAGCACGAAACGAAGCTTTTAACAATATGAACGATAAAGGACTCGTGTAGTGCAGTGGTCTGAGGCTCCCTGCAATACAAATGGGATAGATCCCCGCCCAGGCTCACCAAGCCCTCCATACCTCCGGGTGGGCAAATCGGTTCTTTATAAAGGATGAAAAATAGAGGGCGAAACTCTCGGCGTTGATCAGCCCCCGAGGGATGCGCCATGCATTCGACTTTATTAAGCATTTGTGGAGGTGATTGAATGCATATCTGGCGCGTAGTCTACTCGCGGTGGTGTATCAATATATAGAGCCAGTGCTACCATGCTCCCAGACATGTCTGCTACCAATTTACCGATCCGAAGAGATATAAGGCTTGGTCAGTCTGGGGCGCAAGGATCGATACCACATGTACCGCAGTGCGCCATCGACCACACTGCGCCACACACGCCCCTCTTTTCAATATCATATTTTGTTACATTATAAATGAATACATTCTACCTATGCAAAAAATTTAAAGCTTACCAGCACGCATTTGTTCCTTTTAAGTTTCTAACAACACTTTAAGAGAAGTCCACTTTTCCGGACAGATTTTTCCTGTGTTATACCTTTTTATTTTCTGCCCACTATAATTTCGCGGCAGGGTACTAAGCGAAATACAACCACAACCTTAACTCTTTTATTTACTGCCTTTTTCTTCTTAATGGCAGGGTATGTTGTGAAATATAACTCGTATGAAGTGCTGAGATATTTGCAAAACTCCGGACCGCAGGTGTCTATGGTGGGGAACGAACGCGCTATTGTCCTTTCCGGGGAGTAACGCGTTCACTACCACACCATGTGGGTCCTTTGTTTCGCCTGTCTCTCAGCTCTTTCTATCTCAACAACGTTGTGGTTGATTTTTCCTGTGTTTACACATCCATGCTTTAGGAAGTGCCACCAAAGCTGCCACGGTATATGAATATGCCTGATGTTTTGGAGGAGCGACTAGTGGCTGGACCAGGTATTTCGGACTCTTCCGGTCTGCTCAAATTACCTTTCTGTGACAGTATGAGTAGTGTGTTGAGTTCCCAAACATTGGATACGTTGGCTGTACTCGATGAGGCCGTGCAAAAAGAAACCGCGTTTAAAATTAAGGTTTCTTTTATTTGTTTTCATAGGTATAATGAATATTTCCTTTGTAAGTGAAGTAATGGTCGTGAGGTGTTATTTTTCGAAATCGGAAAGAAGAAAATAGAATTAACTTTAGCAGAACTATGCATATTGTGCTCAGTAGGATACTACATCTCTTACTGTCGTAGCAAAGGAATGTAAAGACACAACGAAACCAAATCCTATCCAATTTTACTTTTTGCCTCTCGGTACTCTTCGTTTGTACAGGACACCTGCATGCTTATTTCAGTCATTTGCATCTATTTCCAAGCAACCTTTAATGCCCGGAGTGGGCCAATTACTTCCTGTCGTTTGTCAAGCCGTTGCTGGAGTTTCAGACCCTAGCTGTTTCACGCTGGTCTATGACACTATGCTGCGATTAAGATCGAGTTGTGAGAAGTTAGGTGTGTTATGCTCGTCTTAGACTGTCAACCATTTGAATTTTTTTAGTTTGTTTATGAATTACTTCTAGAATGTCTGGAACTTGCACTGAAGCAATCATCAAGTGTTGATCCCTCGTTTACTAACGCTCTGCGTGATATACGTAGCTCATTGGTGCAGGTGTTTTCGTTTCCTTTTCGAGATCTTTTCTATCGAAAGAAAGTTCTTATTGAAGTGTACTGTGACTGAATTCGAACGACTACAAACAACACACGATTCTTTATTTGCAATGTTCCGACAATCATACGCTCCAATGATCGGTTCCAATGATCCGCTTTTGCGAACAGAGGTCTCCAACCTTCACGCAGACTCTGTCGTCTTAGGGACAGCTAACCTAACCAGTTGCTCTAGTGCTCATCTGTCAAACGATCTACTACAGGTTTGCATTCGATTTTCTCAGAACTTTCTCGAATTTATTGTCTACTTTTCCAGCAACATATGAGGTTAGTTCCATCAGACCAATTCAGAGCCGTCTCAAAATCCATGACTGGTGCTGCAAAGTTACCACTAATGGTTTCCACACCTTCAGACTCTCAAACTTTACACCATGTTCTAATACAACAACTCATGCAATTTTTGAGTTTGCCACAGCAAACACGATAGATAGCTCCATCTTTGGCACATTTTTTGGTGTTTAACACAACTATTAACATTTACCGGTATTTTTAAGGCCCATTTATAGAAATCTACTACTTTAATGCCTTCATGCTTTTCTGATCTTCACTATATGTACATAGGTTTTTTTCTCGAAAACTTCTATGAAGGTCCTAAATCAGTGGATTCTAGTTAGCAGCTACGTGAGTAATGTGCGTACACCGCACCTTAAGGTACCTAAGGCAATTTGAACAATTGTAAAACAAGTGAGTTGTCAAAAACGGGCAATCTCGATTTTTGGTCAGAGTGACTGGCATTGGGATGTTTAGTGAGGCTTATAACTTTTAAATGAAATAGCTGCATAAATGGGGCGGAATATACATAGTGAGAGAAATAGGAGACCTGCAGGAGACAGACATTTAAGCAGTGTCGTCTTCTCTTACATTAGCTTCAGTGCCAGCTGCTCTTTTCTATGTGCTCGCAGTGAGTGCGCGTATTAGTTATTGTATATCCGGGTCGAATATATCCAAACATCAACGGGCAATTAGTGACCGTCCATTTTTTGGAATATCAGTTAGGTTTTTTTTCTGGATAAGATGTTACTCTGGTTTTCCAACTAAGCAGTAGTTCACATATATGTTCTGAGGTGATCTTATCCAGTGTATATTCCGGTGATCGAACAAGTCGTTTTCGATTGCTGAAAACGAATCCGACGGTGTTATATTGTAGTTATATAAGGTTTTTACATGTTTTAAAAACTGTACAAAAAATGAGTATGTCAGTGACGATCACCATCAATGACAAATTTGAACTGTGATCAGCACACTTGTTTTCGCCCTAGACGCTAAATTTCTTCGGAGAAGACACTGCCAATGATGAGGAAATGGAAAAGTGTGGAATGTTCAACACAAGAACTGTATGCGCTGCTTTCACAACTTTGTTGAATGTTGTTCTTTTCAAGGTTCATTCGTTTGGAATAAATTTCATGAAGATCAACTACAGCGAATTAATTTCCGAGACGCTCTTCTCTTAAGAAATCTAGCAGAAACATTCGTAGTAGGGATACGTTAGATGTTAAGTTAGTTTGACAAATTCAAACAGAAGTACCCGTCAAAGAGCGTTTCCGTTCCAGATATATGAAAAGTTCCAGCGAGGTTTAACTTGGAGAAGTATAGAAGTATGAAATGAACAACCGTATTACATTCGACCCCTGCCTAATAGGCAATTAACATTGATAAAGCAGCATTCTATACATTCGAAGTCGAAATTTCTCAATTCAAATATATTTAGAGAAATTTGGTGCGAGCCTAGATTGTCTGACACGTCGAGCTGGACTGTTGTTGACAACACGAGTCGAAGCGGTTGCAAATGAGCTTTCAGTAGGCACGGTTTCGTCTTGTTTAATTGAAGTATCGTGTGTTGAATAAGTTGTCTTTCGTCCACCTCGTCTACCACGGTGCTTCCTAGACGGTAAGATGACCTGGAATTCATTACAAACTACGCTGACTTCACGCCTAGAAATTTCTACTTCCAAAGTTCTCCACTTGTCTAGCCTTTTAAGTTAAAACATTTAACATCACAACGACAAACATCCATGATTGAAAAACGAATTACCGATGATGGTTTTAAGTCGGTGAGTTTTGGATCGCTACAGTTTAAACTAGGACCAGAGAAAGATGGCGGAAAATTTGAAGACACTGCGACTGGCAACAGTTGGCATTGGGCAGCCTATGATAAATGTGTAAATCTTTTGATGGAGAAATTACCAGGTTGTCACTGTTTTGGAAATTCAAGCCATAAATTTCCCAATTAATCTACACGGCGACTGAAAAGTAACTCCATATTCTAAGATTCCTATTCATTTCCTACCCATAATGTTTACAAAAAATGAATATGAGAGCAAAGCGTATAGAACGGAGTTTTATTTTCGATTCGATATTGTCATCAGCATTTATCATGAGCTTTTCAAGTTAGACTTTCTGTCGGGTATTTCACTCAAGCTTCTGGATTGGCGTTAGTTCTCACAGGACATTCACGCCACGTTGGAACCGTATCAACTGATCTCCAGAAACTTTTGGACATGGAGGACATAACCTCCGTACAAGCACTTCGAATTCTTCCAAAGTCGTTGGTTTACGAAAATTGACTTACTCCAACCGTTCTCTTACTACTTGAATTGACTTTTTGGGCTATGAGCAAATATTTCGTGAACAAACTGTACTGCTTGGTCAATGGAATTTCGAAACCTGATCTCTTCTTCTATTATCAATTACATATCCCATGTAACTGAGTTTTACATGATAATTCTTGATCGCTTTTATGTCAACCTGAGCATGTCTTTTTTCAGTGGTTCTCCACCATCCTCGTACTTGAACAATGGATATCCAAACTTCGTAACTTGCTAGCTGGGTACACAGTTACAGGTTAAAACATCCAGCCATGTTTGTAAGGCTTACAAATTTAGAATAAAATAATTGATCTGAAAAAAACATATATTTAATTCCCAAAAATTAGAGAACATACACAAGAAAATTTGAGGAAAATATAATGTATAAATAGGTTAAAAGCAACTTGAAATAGAGAGTTACTTTTCCGTCACTCTATTTACTGAGGTTTTTTCATATTAGTGAATGGATGGAAAATCAAACTGTGAATACCTGATTCGCTGACGTCCTAATTCTAGGGTGTTTTCCTCTGTAATGTGAAGTATTTTTGTGCAACCATCCTGTTGCCACATCCGAAAGGTCACCCGTAGCTTTGACTATAGCTTCAGACCTCGTTTGAATATGTGCTTTAGACCCGACTTTCATCTTCTGGAAAAGTTCAAAAGAAGAAAATAGGAAAAATGCAAAGAAATAACTTGGTCACAGTAAGGTGATACTTTGTCCGCATTCGAAATTCGTGGAAACAACTTCTTGAAACCTGCTGATGGAACGCCTTCTGATGTCCCAGGCGCCGGATTATCCTTGTTGCCATCACAAGTCTCTCCCAACGATACAGGTTTACTACGATTCCGTTGTGTTGGTGGTTCCTATATCAAAAACGTTTGTATTCTCTCATTAGAAAGCCAATGTAGTATAATTCACTTACCTTAACATCCGTTTTGGAGACAGTATTTTCCACTTTTCGTATTCCTAGTATCGCTGTCAGCTCACTTCCAATAACCTTTTTCTAAAAAATAAATTTCCTGGTTATAAACAAATATAGCCACAGCGAATACATATCCATTCGTTTGTTCGGAAATCAATGTCCAATTGATTATTTCATTTCCCCTGCATATGTTTTAGCAATAGTTTTTTCAAACGCTATACGCTTTTTTCGTAAGCTAAAATATAGCCGTAATGATGCTGACACATTTGCAAAACTCCGGACTACTGGTGTCTGCAGTGGGAACCGAAGACGCTATTATGCTTTCAGGGTGGCTAATGCGCTCACCACCACACCATACGAGTCGTTCATTTCGCCTTTCCCTCAGCCGTGTTTTCTAGGTATTGCCAGCAACCACCCGTCAACAGGATAGATCTGAGGAACAAAAATCGGCACTGAACTCAGCTAAGCTGGAACTGTGGTATAAATCACAATCTCGTCACTTTTTCTTTACTGCCTACTGCCTTTTTGTTTACCAGCTTTACCGCCTTTTTGTTTACTGCTACACTATTCCGATTCATTGTAAAGCTCATTCCATGCATTTTCATTCCGTAATATTAAACCATAATATAAACTGTGTTCTTGACAAATTGAAACAGTTGGGACGGGAAATTTCAAAGCAGGTAACTTGAGAAATTTCCTTCCTTACGAATTTAAACTCGGACGTTTCCAGTGCAAATGACTCGAAACGCTATTGAGGCCACGGAAGCATTAACAAACACACGGCGCACTGGCTTGGAAACTCATGGTGGCGAATTCGACGACGACGTTGAGAATGATAACGGACGTCCTTCTGGTATTGACGACGACGGATAACCGCTATGATGGAAGCTCATACATGCAGAACTCTTCAAGAACTTGCAGAAGAATTCAGTATAAACATCTCCTTTGTTTTGAATCACCTAAAGGAGATTTGAAAGCCGAGAAAGCCCGACAAAACACCTCCTACGAATTAGCAACACGTCGTACTACGGATAAGCGGCCCTGAACTTGCACATACAACGCTGTAACGAGCGTTTAACGAGCAGGAACATGAAGCTCTAACTCAACCACAACACGCTCTAGACCACTCGCCTATCGACTACTATTTCTTCAAGCATTTCAATATTTTCCGAAGCATGAAATGCTTCAGAAACCAAGCCGAGGCCGAAACTATCTTCAACAACTTACTTTGCCTCAAGAACACCAGATCTTTATGCATTTGGCATAAACAAGCGTTCTCGTTGGCAAAAAGTGTTCAGATTCTAATAGTTTTCATTTACATTGGACACTAGTTTCCGAAAAACCTAATAAATTAAACTTTGACTCTGCCCTAGCATACAGGTGTTCAGTAGTACAAACCGAACGCGTAGTATCTGTCTCAGAAGTTGGTTTCGATGGGATTGGAATGGCACATTCCTTAATATCAGCTTGAGGTGCTATACATGAAGCGGGATGTGCTGTAATGAAAAATAAGTGCTGAAACAGGAAGATTTCCCTTGTTTTTAAACTACCATAGAACAACAACTTAACACATCTGCTATGATTCTAGTCTCTCGTCAACTGTCAGAATTTTTCGATTAATAAAGTGAATAGAGATTCGAAGGCTTCACAGTACTTTAAGTATGGACCTTGCTCTATTAGTCCAACACGCAAATTTGGGAGAAAAAATTCAACATGAACCTAACGAGCCCAAATACCATAGAAAAATTCAGGGATATTTTCGCGTCTTGCTATATAAAATGCTGCCTATTTAATAACTTCATTGTTCGAGATAGAAACCTCGATAGACGAACTGTGGGCTTGAAAAGTTGGAATTTTATTGTGCTAGGAAAACAAGAAATCGTATATTGTAAATAAAGACCTGCAAATTCTAGCAGTTTGCATTTAAATCAATGTTATTATTTCCATTATCATATTGTATTAAATTAATACATTGCGTATTACGTGTATATATACCAAGATTCACCATCGATCTGGTGCCAAACGAGTCTCATGGTGGTAAATCTCCCCTCTGATCCACAAAGGCTGCGACTGCCCGTGGTGGTGAAGACCTGGGGCAGACTTTGGTCGGGCTTTCCTCGGGATTCCGAGGAACCACAATGACTTGTCACCAGCAAGTCTCCGTAAAGTGGTGATTATACTGGATCCGCACAACCAGTGGGGACGGGCAGTTCAAGTATCAAGTAAGTATTATATTATCATTCAATTATTATTATTACCATCATTTGTTATTAATCAAGAAATGTTCGTTTAAAAATTAAAAACTAAACAAATTTCACCAACGAATGTGCCGTGGATCGTTAAGCATCTGTCCCTAAGCAAAAAAGTCAACCAAACCTTTCAGAATTCGGACCTTCCGAGACTTATTCAGGAATAACGAGCATTTGTTCTTTGTAGTTGAACATGGCTGGTTTCTTTCAATATTCTAAAGAGAAATAACGTCAACATAAACATTGTGACAATTTAGACCAATTCGTTTCCTCGTGTGTCTGAGAATATGCGTTCAGCTTTGCAAAACAAGATTGTTTTTATGAACTATTTACACATATACTATAGCCATCAGCTATGGACTTCAAAAATGATGGGCCTGTCTATTCAACAGCAATCAGGCCATGCAAGATCGTACGTCAGGTTGCCATAGTCTTTCTCAGTGGAACAAAAGTCACTCTCACCGTAACAGTTATCTGCATCATTCTGACATCATATAACAACTATTTGTATTTTCTACGGCAGCAACTATTTTAGTCTAGGGATAAAAGAATAAACGCTCACCAAAAACCAGCAGGCATCCTTTCTACCATAGTCAAAGAATCAGCCGGATCGGGAAAGGCCAGCAAATTAGCTGCTGCACCACTTCTACGCTCAGTGGAGTGTGTTTAAGGAAGTGTTTACTGACGGTTTTTCGTAACTAGTAACTGAGGAAAAAAAGCGTAGCTCTGATTCTCACATTAAATTAAAACAGTTCAAAACTAAAGCGTAGAAATGAACGAAACATCATGGGACAAAACACCAAAATTGAGGAGATACAAGACTTCCCGAAATTTCTCCACAAAGACAAGAAATGGTCTTATTTTCTTGCACAAATTGGCGGAATAATAAAGGATAAAGGAAAAAAGCTCTCGGCGTTGGCTCCGAAAATCCCTGAGCAATGCACCATGCATTCGACTTCATTAGGTATCGTTAGTAGGTGATTGAATGCATATCTGGCCTTTACAATGACCCGCGGTGGCTTACAGATGTATCCAGCCAGTTCTGCTGTTATCCCATACAACTCTGGTACCAATTAGCTGACTCCGTAGGGATGGAAGGCTTGGTGGACTAAGAGCGCAGGAATCAATCCCATCTGTATTGCAGTGCGTCTCCGACCACTGCGTAACCCCTCCCCCCCCCCATTCGCCTCTTCTTCATACTCAGTAAAATACAACAATTCGCGATAATTCATCGGGCAGTGTACTACTTAAAAGAATAATCATCATCAAATACAATCTCTTCGCTAATTCGAGAGGGGACCCCTAAACCAATGTGTTATCCATTGGAGTACGAAATATATGGGCAAAAAAATGGTTCTGAAAGAGACAGATATGCGACATTGTACGTATGATCATTTTTCAATGCAACCACGAAAAATCGTGAAGAACTCTAAAGAACAAGGTCACGGCTAGTTACTGTTAACATCATTTCAGGTAATCTGCTTGAAACTACATTGCTATTCTCCATTTCTCACAAACAAAAGGATACTTGAACCAGATTTCAATGACAACGCACTTGCAAGAACATTACCATTCTCATTTGCACTTTCTGGAAACAAACCACGGTACCTGTTCATCAACAGTAGCAGTGTTGTCCTTCACCGTAAAATCTCGCTTGACTTTGTTGTTAAGATGGGGTCGATTTTCTCGATTTTGTGGCACCAGAGTTTTTTCCTTTCGTTCTTTACCAAAAGAAATATTGATAAGCGAATTTTTCGGTACACACGCACCACTGTTCAACATTCCCCTGAAACAATGCATAGATCTCGTCAATATCTTCTGAAAAAAAGCCATATAACTAATGCTTATTACATTTGTAACCTACAGATAGTCTTCTAAGTGTAACACAGTACAAGCTTGTACTCATGTTCATCTGACTGTGCCTTCTCAACACTTAACAAACCTGAGAGGATACCAGTTTTCCGATAGCTGGTAACAGTTTTTGGATAGTGAAAGCATAATTGATGCAGGAACATGAGAACTTGGCAAAGTTAAGAGACCCGTTTCAAGAGAGCATTTGCATTTCCCACAACGCTGTCATCAATAATTGCCAAACGGACTTCTTGTTAACCTCGGCATTGATAAACGGCTCGCTATTTTCTTTATAAGCACATAAGACGCTGTTATTATACACAATTTATTCACATAAGCTAACGTTCCGGCGGGCTTCGCCTTCTTCGGAGCCATTTTCTACTTTTCCAGTAAATGTCCCACGTACAACCTAATCCCACATAGATGCATTACCCAACAATGTGAGCTGTGTTCGGTCGGTCTCCACGCAGAACACTCAGTAGAGGACTCTTCGCCGAAACGTAAGCTATTGTGAGTAGAAAGTATATAATAACCACCTTATGCGTTTTTATCAATAAAAAAGTGACACTGTCTTCATTCCAAACTTGTTGAAAACCCAAGTTTCCTAAGAACTGAAAGAAAAATCGGGAATTACCAAGTTCAAACACTCAAAGCAGCTATTAAACACCAAAGAAACATTCCTGAATATAACATTATCTTGTATATAAAAGGGTGCAGTGGTTAGAGACCCCTGCAAGATAAATGGGTTCTATTCCTTGCCTCAGGCTCACCTAGTCTTCCATCTCTCCGGGGCCGGCAAATTCCTACCAGACCTGTCCGAAAGGATAGCAGCACTGGCGCGATACATTGACAGGTGACCAAGAGTATCGAGGGCAGAAATGCATTCAATTACCTCTAAGGATGCTCGATGAAGTCAAATGCATGGTGCATTCCTCAGCAATTGATCAACATCGAAAGCTTTATAATCTTATCATTTTATCTGCAGATTAAATCCTGTTCGATGAATTGTTTGGCCGTTAGATTTCAAGTCACGGTGAAAAAAAAAGCGATCATAAGCTGCAGATGCCTATTTATTTTAGCAACACGAAATATACCTTGTTTTCTGCAAAAAAAAACTTTAGACTTTATAGATTCTAACGGGTTCTATTTCAGTTAATAAAGTTCACTGTAATCACATTTTTGTTCACTGCCTATTCTGTTTATGGCAAGGTATGACATGTTAAATACTCACAATGGTGCTGAGGTATTTGCAAATGGTTTCCCACAAACTAAGAAGTGATAATGTAAACTTTCTACTTTATACCTACAATGTGTCACGGCAGGGTATTATGTGAAATACTACCCTAACGATGCTGAGATACTTGTAAAACTCGGGATCGTAGGTGTCTGCGGTGGGGATCGAGCCCGCTATTACCCTTTCCGGGTGCTAACGCGCCCACCATCACTCCATGCATTCGAGAAAAAAGGCCGAGAGAACGGCGAAACGAAGGACCCGCATAGTGTGGTGGCGAACGCGTTAGTCCTCGGAAAGGGTAACAGCGAGCTCGTTCCCAGAGCACACACCTGAGGTGCGGAGTTTTGCAAATATTTCAGCACTATTGTGGGTATAGGTTCATTGTATTGAGTACGTTCTTGAAAAGCTGAAATCTCACGAACAAAACAAACGCTTTCTACCGGTGGACTAGAAAAACGGTTTAAAAAATATTTATAAAGGAAATTAGTACTTAACGCACCTTATTTTATAGCCGCAGTTGAACTCTTGATCAAAGAGAACATCTACCTTAGTAGAATAAAGTCCTACAACAGTTCCTTGCAGACCAAACGGAATTTCGGTCCCCTTAGAAACATTTGTATTCTCAAGTTTTATAAATGTCGTACTGGTTAGGATATCACCTGTTTACAATAGACCACACGATCCAGCAATATGAAATCAGCGTCGGCGTCAGGACAGGATTTTCCTTCATATAGCTCGGCCTGAATTCACACGTACGTCAGATAACATTTCATGGGACAATCTGGTTCTCATGGGTAAAAAAAAGCATGTAACCGAAAGCGAATGCAGATATCGTAAGGACGCATACTTGTCAGAAAATCTGTCATAACAAGCCCTAATTACTACGAACAGAATATCCATAGTACACTAAAGGAAGGACTACCTCGAATAAATAAGCAAACATGGTTAGAAACGTTCAAAGCCATGTGGAAAACAGAGCTGATCTACAAATGATCGGGTGGAAAGATTTGCAGAAGTAACAGAAACCCAGACGAAATTGCTGCCTGAATATAGCAGTAAAGCGCAATTACAGCAACAAAGCACGGAAACGACAATGTGTCTGGCCCACGTCAAATGTTAAGTGAAATTTCGAAAAGTTTTAAGAACATGACGGTTCTCCAATCTCCTAAAATCGAGTAATTTTACTTCGCTCTTGATTTCGGTCAACCACCATGCATCTGGCATCCACGGAGGTTAAAAATTTGTCTTCGTCATGAATTTCGTTGAAACTGACTCATCCCGGAATCCTGCAAAAGGTCACTACTTACAGGATTCCCAGAACTCAGCACGGCTAGTTGCCGGGCTTCACGTATTGAATGAAACTTTTCCCATAGAAGTTAGATGCCGATTTGTCAAGGCAATATGGATGAGGCCAGACTGGTGAAGTGAAACCAACGTGTACTGGGCGTGTATTGCACAACATCTCTAATCAAGACACATCCTGCGTTCCGACCACGTTTTAACCAGTTATACTTTTCCTAATGACCTATAGCTCAGTAACAGCGTCAATCAGCGCAGAAGATGCTCAGTTTTAAACATCGTTTCACTTGCAACTATTAAGAAATACGTTGAAGAAAACAATTCAGCCTCTCTCTCTTTCTCTCGATGTGAGACCATTCTACGAATTAACAAAGCGGTTATGAAAACAACATGCAGTTTCTTGGTACTCAACTTCTCAAATAGAACCGGTCAGTGACCCTGCTTACAACAATAGCCAGAAAACAGCTTCAATGAATCGTGATGAACCACGGCAAACAATGCATACTTGATACCACCAACTCAAAACATAGAATGAGGCCCAATGACGAAGAGGCAGTAACTTCACAGGACGGCGAAGAGGCTGATTTCTCGACAACAGAATTTTTCATCAGAGTGGCAGAGTTAAGAACTCAGCAGACTTATACAATTGACGTTGCTCCAACTTACTTGTATGGCCCGTCTTCATTGGTTAAGTGAACCCCAGCATATTCTCCACTTTTCGGAGTTTTGTTGGCTTAGCGATTGTGGTTCCCTGGCGTCCCGAGAACAGCGTGGCCAAAGTGTGACCCAAGTCGTCACCACAACAGGCAATTCTCGCCCCTGTGGATCACATGGAGGTCTGCCACCATGCGATTAGTTTGGTACCAAGACGGTGACGGATCCTGGTATTGGTTTACTCCTAGTTGGGTTTCCAAATGTAAACGTCGGACTCCTTCCGAGCTTGGGAGACCCTGCCGGGGAGACGGATCTCTTGCTGCACATCACAGTCTGACACTCAGGAACACCTTGCAACTACGATAAGGCGCTAAACCGTTGACAGTGACATCGCTTTACTTTCATAAAAAATTATTTCAGTTCAAAAATAGCTCAAAATGAAAACTTACAATTTCTCTTGTAACTATAGCAGCTGCATAAATAAAAGACATTAGAGAACACAATGTCATGCTGGACGAAATCCAGCTTGTTCCATTTTTTCGTGTCAAAATACGACCTATATCGTCAAAAATGAAAAATATATTGAGAAATACAAGATAGTTCTAAAAATTGTGGATGCTATTCAGAACTAACGGTCTAACCTGCGTCGCTGTATAAGGGAAGAAGCCTATAAGCTAGATATTTTAGTTGCAAGAAAATTGTCACGTACAAGGGAGAAACTACATAAAATCGGTTGTCGCGTCAGTCGTGCGAGAAAACAGATCGAAACGAAGAATAAAGATCCCGTAAGTTGAAGACGAAATGGACAGAGGTCTACGGGGATTATGACGCTCAATGAAACAAGTGGGGAAGTCAAAGGGAGGAGTCATCTTCAGTCCACAAAAATTAGTTTAGAAGTCTTAGCCAGAATTTTTTAGAACAAGTACTACTACCGATAAGGATTTACTTCACTCCACATTACTTTACTTTACTTACTCGATATAGAATATTCGGATTGATAGAACACTTTCTGAAACCCCAGCGTTTTTTCGGCACTCGTTTGATAGCGTTTTCAATGTGACCTGAACTCAAACATTATAGTTGGATAAAACTTTTCTTTACTCAAGTTGTATGGTCTAAAAAATCAATACGGGTAGTAACTAATCAATTCCGTAATCTCTTACCGCCTATTATCTTCCGAGTACCTTTATTCATACTTAATACAAGAAACTCAACCTATGAAGAAATATAAAGCAACAAACTCCACCTCCCCCCCCTCCCCCCCCCTCCCACCTCCCAATGCTTAAATTTAACTTATTATGTGGCGAGTACGTGGAGTTCTTCGTTACAAAGCAAACCCAAAGATGAAAATCAAATTAAGTACGAATGCAAAATCACAACATTAGGTAACACTAGTTTATTGTTAAAACAACGGTATGGCACCTGCTAGGAAGGATAATGTTTTCATATACCTATAATGAAACGATCAGCGTATTGAATGCCTGCGTCCTGCTTTTCGATGCCATGTGTTGGCGCACTGGCTAACCATTTCTTCAACTCCGACGTACGTTCCTAAAATCCAAATCGAAGCTAAGGCAACCTTTTCCGTAACTTCTTCAGCAAATGAAGTTTTGATTTTTTTCAATAGCAATAATTTCAGTGGACGTGGAGTTTCTTTGGATAAAATGTAGATTTATTGGTGGGGCTTACCACAATATGCTGTTTGAAACACTGGTCTTAATGCAGCCTCAAAAAGCGCATCTAAAAATGCGTACTCGTTCTCTTCTTTTGCATCCGCAACGATTTTACAATGGTGATTCTTCTGTAACTCCCGATAGAAGGGTTGAGAAATTGAGTACATAAAAGACTTCATTGGTCGCTCTTCATGCACTTAAAATTTCTTTTAAAATTTTAAAAATTTTAAAATAAAAAAAATTTAAAACATAATCATCTAATTATAAACTGCTTAGAACTCAAAATTCCGAACAACTGAAATGCGAAATTTACCAAGATTTTCAACACAATCTCAGCAAGTAAAAATAACAAGGATGAAGTCGGAGACATCATTGCTTTCGAAAGGGCGAAACTCGAACTGATCCATCGCTCAAAGGATTGTTGTGAACTGTGACGACCCGAAGTTTTGGTGTCATCATCAGGAGCCACAAACATTTTAAAAAATCCTGGGGTTGCCATTTTGGGCTGTTTAAATATGGAAACCTATGATGACGACCCCAGCATGCAAGCTAGCAATGATAAGTACGACGTCACTGGAGTGGTTGAGACGAGGTTACGCCATACATTAGACGCTGGTTAAATCGGTGAAGAAGTGCTCTTCAAATCATAAGGAGAGAAGACAGCGTTGGATCCTTGTTAACTCGGACTTATCACCAGTGAACAACAGCATTTTTGAACAATTAGTGGTCTGAAACGGATGCTTATAGATGGAGAGATACAGACCATAACACCAGTTTTGACAGTCCTCTTGGTCTACGCTCCCACATGAAGCCACGACGAGGACTAAGCTGAAGATTTTGCTTTTTCAGTACAATGGAACGAAAGCCGAAAAATCGAAGGGTCGAAACCTCAAAGTACTGGAAGATTGAGATTTATTCAACTTTTTACCTGACTTTTCGGAAGATACCATTATCGATAGCATTGCTGGAAAATACGACCATCGTATCAACTTTATGATAGTGATAAGTTGGGAATGAAGACTACCAAGAGACATCTACCAAAAGTACTGATATGCCAACATTTTTCTCGACCCACATGTAATACGTAACATATCAATAGTTGTAAAACGCTATGGAGATATAAAAAAGGTGAACATTATGGTGTCAACGAAATCTTCACTCAAGTTAGCCTCAACAGTGTGCTAATAACAACTCATACTAAAAGCAACTTTACACCCTGAACTTAATCAATCTAAAGCGAACACTTTCACTGAAGTGAAGTCATTGACGCCTCAATAAGGTGATTTCGACAAAATAGTTTACGGTCATTATCGTAAGTGGTGCGTCAAAACTGGAATGTAATAGCATAAAAGTGTTGTCCGATTTTAGGAAGCCAATTTGCTTTGCTGATGACAACGACTTTACAACGCCTGCATTACCCATGCAAAATGAATCCTGGCTTAGCCTGGTGTCTGAGCAAAATACGAGTTCTGGCTAAGACAGAACAGATGATGGCAGCTTCTTGGTGACCAAAAATAATTGAGAATTGAAAAGACTTCCCATTCTATAACGTATTTATTTGTCCTCCAAACCTCAACTCTCCAACTTCACTACTAGATTATTCCCAAATTTTGACAACAAATCTTCAACGATCGAATGGCTTTTTCTACCATTCTTTTTTATACAACAGCTTTTAGTGTTACGCTCATGAAAGACGCCAAAGAATTGGCAAAGCCTTGTTTATGATGCCAGATGATCTCCACAACCCATTTGCTCAACAAGAATATAAAGAATTAATTGATTAATCCAGAGGCTAATAAAGCCAGTCGTGGAATTTATTAAATATTGGAATGTTAGAACAGATACGGAAACAAATTAACAATAAACAAAAGCTTCATGTACTTGTTTAACTGTATAAAAGAACCACGATGGATATGCTGGATGCCTTTGGGTGGCAGTGTAAATGAAACACTCCAAATATGACTTTTGTTGGAAACTTCGAAGTCTGAAAGCCGCTAGTGAACAAATGCGCAGAAAACAAAAACAAAAACAAGAACCTGTCGACAAATCAACCAACAATAGTTACCCATCATTGTCGATTATTCTCATTTTGTTATACTCAGGGAATCGTCCGCCCGTCGAGTATTAACCAACAATTTTCTCGGGACTTCTCTTCAACACCGAATTCACAAAGATTGATAATAGAGTTTATGTGCGCCGGTTCGGTTACACTGCCTCTTGGTTTTGATAACAACCAAACGTGTAAAACAACAATGTATACACTTCCCGTTAACCCTTAGCAAAACTGTTAAGAAACCATTTCAGAATTCCTGATAACTACAATGGTGCTCAGATGTTTTCAAAACCCTGGACCACAGATATATGTGATGGGGATCTGTGGTGTGACGAAGATCACGCATGATGTGATAGTGAACGCGTTACACCCTAGAAAGGGTAATTGCGTGTTCGATACTACTTGTGGTCCAGAGTTTTGCAAATATCTCAGCTCCACTGTGGTTGCATTTCACATAATACTCCACCGTGAAGAACTAGTAGACAGGAATTTTCTAAAAAAATTCCTAACAAATCGAAAAGGGAAGCTTCGTTTCGTAAGCGTATACTTCTAGCTCTCTTAATTAGGCCGAACTTAATTATCACCTCGTTGTAGGTTACCTTCACAAAGATTCACCCAAGCGACCTTTTTAAAATTTGCACTGCAAATTTAATGGTGGTTTTGTCCATACTATTTGCTTTTCCAGACCGAATTTCATTGGTTACACTTTAAAAACACTACTTTGAACAAGTAAAACGTCATTCGTTAAAGACATCAAAAGTTGATTCACCTATGAACAAACTCTCCTCCAATATGTCCGCATAAAATTCCTACACTTTCCACATTTTCTTTTACAGGGTGGTCAACACCTCGGACACATGTCGTAGGTTAAGGCTGTGACAACTGCGTCATAGTGGCTGGTGATAAACGCGTTGGTAAAAAAATAAGCAAACCCTCGCTGTGGATGACGTTCGACCGGACACGTGTAACCAAGATCTTATAAGCTTGTGAACGAACAGTGCCGCTTCTCATTAAAGCATTATAAGCAATACACTTTCTTCGAAGTGTACAAAAAGTCCTATTTTTCTCAACCTGCACCGTTCTAAGTCGTTTCTACTTCTCAGATTGTTTCTAAATTTTCTGGTTTTCTATTGCTTTAATTTCCTAACTAAAAATAAAAACTTCCCATTTTCCGAAGAATACCGAAATTAAAAAGATACCTCGCGTTTTTCTTTATTCTCCCAAATATCGCTAGCCAGATAAGCATCATCGGTAGAGTTTGCCTTCTCCAAGTACGAAAAAAGGTCGCGGAATCTGCAGTACTTTTTCAACCTATTTTACTAATGTCGCTAAGACTGAAACATCCAGGAAGAAATTGGTATTAACTTATTCCTGTAGCTACTGAGAAGTTGCAGGCATAGAGTGGAATATTGCCAATATCCATTTTCAAGCCGACGGGTGTATTCAGCAACCTAAAAAGTTGTATGCATCCATATCGTTAAAAATCCACGATAAAGCACTAGGATGGAATCTGATATTTAAATGCAAGCCAGTATTTTGAAGACAGTTGGCAACAAGTTCACCATCTTTTTGTGAAGTATACTGAAAATGAAATCACACCTCCTGATTTTTTCTCGACAACTTCAGGGATAGGCCAATATTGATAGTTTCACGCCAAGGGGAAGAACCCACTTCGTCCGGACTTCGTTCGATCAAGAGGAACACGGTACCCGTGATGCGAGATAACAAACGTCCATCTACTATAATTAATAAACTCCGTAAACATCCACAACTAGACTGCAAATCCATTCACCTCTGATCCTTCGACCAGCTTCGAAGCTACTCAACCACTGCATACTTAATCGTTCGTACGACTCTCGTAAAGGACTTAGATCTACGGTTGGCCAGATCGATACCGTGAGTCGAACTCTACCTAAAAAATTTCCTTATTAAAAACAGCAAAGATTGGGTGAAGCTAGAGGAAGGAATTTAAAGAGCAATAAATTATTTAAAAAAGCAGGAATGTGAACCTTTAATTGATACAAGAAAGAAAGAATTATGATCTAAGAATAATGTAATACCATCGTTGCCCACAGAATCAACTAGTGCTGGATATCCAAATCCTTCCCATGACGGAAGCATAGCAAATACCTTAATCAATGGAAATTCACCTGCAGTTACGATGCCATCTGTGGCAAACTGACCTTCGAATGCTTAGGATAAGCGTCTGCGACTGCAATCTCTTGTAGACGTCTAGTGTATTCAACTGATAAGTTCTGGAAATATTCTTGTTGTTTCTCAGAAACTTTGTTCATCACCAAACTACTTGTCAGGACTTGATACCTTTCGCAATACTTGTCACACACTTCACAAGATCATAACAACTGCCGCTGTTTTGGTCCTACCGCATACAGTACAACACTCCTAATTACGAATCACCCAACATTGAACCAAATTTAAAAATGACTTGCTTCCAAAGATATACCTTATAAAAAAAAGAATTGTTCAATTTTCTAAATAGTAAACTATTCCCAAGTTATCTCGAACTCGATTGCTCAATGCAGTAAACGAATTGACCACCATAAATGGGTTACAGATGCGCAAAACAGGCTTAACAAAAGCGAACTCTTTGCTTTTAGTTCAATTCATGTGGAACCCATTAGTCACGATTTCTTTCTGAACTCTCCACCCGGTTAGGTTTTAAGCAATTTCATGTATAACTGATAATTGGTAATAACTGGAAATGATGTTGTGCTCAAACCTCTCCACCTTATCATCACCATTCCTATTTAAAAAGATGTTTTGTGAGAAACTATGAATAGTTCCCGAATTAAATGAAACGCTAGCAACTTGGATACGCATGAAAAATGACCCACAACCTAGTACTACGGTAATACCGAGTAAATCTTGCTCTTTAAAAAAATTCAATGAACATTCCTAAATAAAAAACGTTATTCATTAAAGAAGAATGAAATCTCAATATTGCAAAATTCGATATGTAGTCCCAGAAAACCGAGAACAAGTAGAAAAAAGAAACAAGAAATGTGAAATACGGAAGGAACCTTACCGTTACAAGCAAAGGTAAAAGAACAGTAGACAAACTCTCTGAGTTGGCCCACTGATTTTTAGGCTTCAGGACACCATCCTCAACAATATATGTGACGCCGACAAAACGACGAACGAAAACAATTGTGTCACACTTCCCAACGTCGATAGCAAAGCGAGAAAGCTGTCTTGAACAAGGGAAACCATTCATTTTAAGTATTCAGAAAGCTGCAGCTGATACCACTCTTACCTTTCCTTTTCTGAGCGCAGCTTTGAATTCATAACGACTTTTTCCTCATCACTCAAACTGACGTTGTCTATGACCCCTACATCATTACGAGTATACTTCCTTCCATTTGCCCATAAGCAATCAACCACAGCCAACTTTATGAAAGAAATAAAATAAATATAAATAGGTACAAACAAGTACACCATATATGTATATGTATGTATATATATACATGTATGTATATACGTAAATACATGCATACAGACTTGTATATGAATATGTATACATATTTATGCATGTATATATACATATATCAAGCATTGTCTAACCTTGAGTATTGGCCAATCAATATATACTTCCTTGTCAATGATGCTCTCTGCAACAACCAGCATATCCTATAAGTAGTGGAAAAATTAAAAGCACTGTTAATTAAAAATTAACCTGCCTCCTACCTTCTCAAACTCATCCCTTTTATTTACGCTTAGTACCATTGAAGGTCGTTTAGATTCTTGCTGAAAAACCTTGGCGTTCACCTGAAATTATGTTCAAAACGACAACCTATATAGAAGTTACAGTAGAAATTACATTAAATATGCAACGCATGCGGAGCAAAAGTAATGCCCATTTTTAATTTTAAACCAATATATCTCAGCTTTTAATGAGTTTTACTAAGAGAAATGAGAACTATTGCGGCTTGCGTATTATTGCCAACGAGATACACGCTCTTTTTTCCCAGTCCAAAAGAAAATTTAATTACCCAGAACTCATAAAACACATTCTTTCGTTTTTTCATTGAGCATGGTACCATTAAACCTAAAGCAACTGAATAAGCGGGATTTTGTCGAACAGTATACGATAGCTTTCTCCAACACATCGCTCATCTCGGCGAATTCGCTCGTTGGAATATGTTGGGGATATCAAATCACGATCCCAATCTTTTCTACGAGTTGTAGATCTAAACAAGCCTAAAACTGAAGAATATTCAGTAAGAACAACATCTCCACTTTAAGTGACACAGCAAAATGTCTTCCACAAATACTTAAAGTTTTCAACCCTGCAAGTACTCTAACAACAGTAGAATTATTAACAGTTCTCCTAAACCCAGTATGGCTGCGAATGAGGTATAAAAATAAAAAAGAAGGTGATATTGTATTGTCGCGATACTGGAAAAGAATCAACACCTGCTTAAGTTCAGCTGAATGGGGTAGGTGTTTCATGGTTGGAAATCCTGGAAAGTAGACGTCCATTTTCACATTTGGTAAAAGTCCATATTTAATAGATTGCGGATCCAGATGAAAAGCGTCTCTCGGGAGGGTGGAACACCTCAACAATGTTGATTTTTTTTTTTGAACCGAAAGCTATACGTATCAAGCATGGCCAATCTACATCGGTCAATACTAACGTCGTAGGAATACATGAAAGAAGACATACTTGTTCGAATTTGTACAACTGGATGTAAAGACGAGTATGTCGCCGAAAGTATTACGACACTTTTCTTCAGAAGTAAGTAACAGCATCTTAAAAGATAAGGAATAGTAAAACGTAATAGAATTAAAGATAATTTCTTGCGCAGTTTCATACCTTACTTTCCATCGCTGACAAAAGTCTTTTCTCGTCGATAAATGGAATCAACACGACAGCTTCCCAATCATTTCTCTTTCCGTTCAAATCGGTTCGAAAGTCAGTTGGGTAGAAATCGGCTATCGGTGATTCTTTATCGCACATTAATTCCTTGAAAATTGAACAGATTTTAAGTCATACCTATACCCGTAAAGGTGTGAATAGAAGATAACAAGACCATACCCTAAGAGATGGTGGAAGGCATTCGCTACTGGCGATAGGAAGCACTGCCAACAACTGTTCGAATGGTTTAAACGGCTCGCCAAGCTCAAACGTGATATCCATGTTAGAGAAATCGATAACATCTGAGATGTACGGTGCGTAATGGTGAGAATAGTACCTGAAATCAAATGCTACTATTTCGAACATGACATTCGAACAACAGTTTTAAAAAAAACGAGGAAATATATGCACCAATTCCACGAGACACAGCCCCGGTAGTAATAGTGTAAATTCCATTGCACGGCTCTCACATAACCTTCCGCTTGCTCACGAAGTTCGGACTTCGAAATGTTCTCGAACCTTCAAGTGGGTGGAAGATAATACTGTTCATTCTACAGAGCGAAAAACATTTATTAATGAGTGAGGAATAGGAGAGTTTAAAAAACGAAGATTTTACGGAAAGTTTTTGGAGCCAGTTTTCATATGTCTACACTTTACTTGCAGTTCACAAAACGTAATACCTCAACAACAGAATAGTTTTAAGAAGTACAATACTGCTCAAGTTTTTCGGTAAACGAAGAATTCGTGAATCTCAGAATTCTTGGTGGACATAAAATAGGCTCCGTACCACTGCTGCAAGGCTATACGCTTCAACATTATCATTAAAATTACACTATATTATTACGCTACACAGAGGTCAAGTGCTGGCGGCCAAAATATTGCCTTCAACATGGGTTTTTAGAATACAAATTAAAGAAAAAACCGGTGAAAAAACGAACAATCAACCGATTTTTTACGAAAACCCGAATCGACGACGCATATGATCCAAAAAATTCCGTTTTACTGGACGAAATCCCCTCATTTCCACTTCTAAGGATTTGGGGCTCCCGAAGGTCAAAGTCCATGAGGGCAGAATTCCAAAACAAACGGTTCTTACTGTGTTAAAAAAAAAAGAGATTCATAAACATCTGAACGTTGAAAAACTTCCTTCATTAGATAAACACCACCTCAAAAAATACCTTACTAAACGACCAATCAGCAAAAGAACGAGCAAAATTTGAGGCTTACTTCAATTTCTCCCGATAATACTCTCGCTTGTGTCGACGAAATGAGTTGCTAACAGCCTTCGTCCAACAATTCTACAACAACAGCAAAGTTCCATATACGAATACAACGACTAATAATGATTTTCCCAGTATCAAGCCAATAACAATCATTCACCTCTACGTCGTTTTCAAATGTCTCACAAATTTCTCTCACGTCTAGAGCCGCGATAGCGCTACAGAATTTATTATACAGTTCAGAGTCATCCTCTAAAGAATGAGGAACTTTTGTACGGAGAATAACAAAAACACTACATATCCCCTTGATTAGTACATAAAATATACCGCTATTGAAATTCTCAAGTAAAATTGAAGCAGACTGCAGACCACCATCAGGCATTTGAGCAGTGGAATCCACTGCGTCATCATCAGACTCTTCGCTGCTAACAAAAGCAGCCTCATAACGGGGTGAATCTTCAGCAAAGTCAGCGCTCTCATCCTGAGATGAAGCAGAAGAGAAGCGCAGATTCTCTCCAGCTACGTTATTCTAAACAAACGCAAAATTCAACCCAGAAGCTACAGCTTGCACCACACTACTATCCAATAGTGTAGTTTTTCTCGTATTACGTAAAAAAGGAATGTGGTCCGTCAAAACTTAGCGGTTCATAAAAAATATGACAGCACTATACTTGAAAGTAAGAAGCGCACCTTTTCTTTAGGATAATTCCCAGTCTTGCTTCGCATATACCTTTCATCTCCACACTTTTGTAAAAAGTAGCGACGGTCATTTGCAGCAAAAGCTTTCAAGAAGATCTCGAAACGTTTCAAATGCAAAATTCCTGACTCGTTTATGTAACCTGGAAAAAAAAACATTTTTTAATAGCGCTGCACCCACTGCATCTGAATACAGATATGACTACATAATACTTTATATAAAAGAAGAGCACGCACTATAATAATGAAAAAAGATCAAATGGACTTGGAAATGCAAGCGAGCTCTCAAAGTGTACAGTGAAGCAATAGTGATAGCGTCCTTTCCAACGTTTTACGACCTCACCGTGACCAGATGTTCCTGGGTGCCAGCCTACGATGTACAGTGGGAGGATTCATCCCCTGAGCAGTCTCCCAAACTGAGGAGTTCGGCGTTTCGTTCAGGAAACAGTTAAGACTAAATCAACACCAAGATCCAACACCGTCCTAGTATCAAACTAATCGCATGGTGGGAAATCTCCCTCTGATCCACAAGGATGGTGACTACCTGTTGCGGTGATGACCTGGGGTATGCTTTGGCCATGCTGACCTCAGGTATACAGGAAACCACAGTGGCTAAACTAGTAGCATCATTTCCATTTTTCGGAGTTTTGCTGACTTAGCCATTATGCTTCCGTGGAGCTCCGAGATCAGCCTGGCCAAAGTCTGCCTCAAGTGGTCACCAACACAGACTGTGGCCGCCCTTGCGGATCAAAGGGAGATTTGCCACCGTACGACTAGTTTGACACCAGGACGGTGGTGGATCTTGCCATATATATATGTATACATATATGCATATGTACACATATACACATATATGCGCACATATATGCACATATGTACATATATATACATATATACATACATGTATATAGGCACATTTATAGATATATCTATATACAATACACCGCTTAAATTCTATTAGCACATATTTACGAAATGATTATCACATACTGTGTTTTTGTCTTCAAAACCCTTCGTTTTGCATCGAGGACATGAATACATTGAAAAATCAACCACGCACATAATTCTTGGGTGTGAGCAAAAGTGGTTCGAATGAATAAAGCGTAAACTAAAAACCAGGGAACAAAACCTAATAATTTTTTGATACATCTATAGAGATGGCTACGCATCCTTCCTTAAATGGATGTGATTTAATGCAAATTTGGCCTAACCCATGACATCTGCGGCTTTGCGATGTATCAAGTCAGTCTTTTCCATCCTCCTAAACTATCAAATTCTTGAGCAAAGCAAATGTAAGGACTCCTTTTTTGCTGCACAAGGTAGAACCAGCGATCATGTGTCGACCTTTAGCGATCACCTTTAGCCATAAGCAGTTTGAAATAAAAAGCAACCAGACCATATGCAGCATTATATCCCATTACTTTTCCTTCTTTTACAAGGCTATTTTGTCCTACAAGAGGAAATGTGCACTGAGTCAATATTTCCTATCAAGAATGCTTATAGTTTTAGTAGGATTTACCACATAAGCAACTGATTTGTAATTCTCTATCATAAAATGTTAGCATTGTGACAAACTTTTAAAAACATTGAGAACCTACCATCTAATGTAGGTAAAACTTGGATATATGTTTGATATAACAAAGGAAGTGCATCCTCATGAATGTGAACATGTGGTAAATGTGGGATGAAATCGTTACCAACGAGGAAACCCATTAAAATCCAATCATCCACGATACGTTCCATATCATATGCGAAAGGCAAAGTAGTCTGAAATTTTATAAAAATCTTGAAAGTAAACGATGGAATGCGAAGGCAAAGTGAAAAAGCAAATACCTTGAGGGGATAGAACTCCCACGATAAGTATTCTCTTAGAAGAGAAAGGTGTAAGAGATGAAATTTTATCTGGTTCGGATTAATCCTGATGAAAGTAAAAAATACACCCTATTACATTTATATGATACTAAAAAACGAAGTGATTCACAACCTATCGGCAGATGAAACACCAGTTCTCTTTGATTGAGGTCTGCTGAATCTCACTTCTTCCCGTAACAATGAGAAATGCGGTTCGTGTGAACATATGCCGAGCATTAACTAAACAAATAAAGTTGAAGTAGAAATTGATGAAGTTGGAACGCAACAATGACAAGCGGACCAAATCGGCATCGAGGCCATATAGGCAGTGCTTCGTGTTCGGATCATATCCTTCTAAACTCCTTTCATGTCGGATGAACTCCATAATTTTATGTTCACCTTCACCAGGACACTAAACAAGTGTAAATATACAACAAGAACATCGGAGTAAGTATAGAACTATGAAGGTTAGTGCACTGTCTACTAGATATTATTACACGAATCATTTGAGAAAGTTTGCCAAATGTGTTACCACAAGTAAAAAAATGTGACAAACATCATGTCCAGACAAATACACTCGAATGTTTCCCCAAGCAACATCCTTCTCGATTTTAGTACTCAACCAAGCGGAGAGCGCTTTGTGCAGTTCCGACATGAAGACAGTACCTAGATTAGGACCATATCACAGATAAAGTAGTCGAATAAAACTATAACAATTTACTAGCACTTTCTGTGCCTTTAGTGCCTTTACACGACAATCCTTGGCTACTTTAAACTCCTATCTTGACAATGAACGATAAACGCGAACATATATTTTCCATTCAACTAGTATGTTTTTGGTTTCGCAGCATTTTCATTGGATTTCCTTCTGAAAGACCAGTGCCATCATAATCGCAAGTGGACACCATAGGTAATCGCTGGTCCACGATTACTACAGGAAAGTCTGTCACTTTGGCTCCTCGTTTCCTAGACTTTGGCGACAATTACAGGTACTGGTCGACTATTAAGCCATTCGATAAGAGTGATTCTTTTTTGTGGCTCACCCAATGAAATACCAGAAATTCTCTATCGGATGCGGAGTCTCTGGTTTTTGACAGTAAAAAGTAATTTTTCGATAACAAAAGGGGTTTTAGACGTAGCGGACATAGTGGAGTTTTAGAAGAGATTTTGCTCTATCGTTCTGTAAGTACGAAAGATATGTATGCCACTATTTTGAAGGTGCTACTATGATCCACTATGGAAATATAGTGCTCTCAGGATTCGGAAGCATTTTACGCTCCATGTTGAATCTATTTTGGCGTTTTCATATTCGTACATTCCATACATTAAGCATAGTTAATAAGAAATGACAGATAATTACTAATAGAAATACCTGCCAATAAACTTTTCAGAGAAATGTTTTTTGTGAATCATCGAGTGTAGAGCATGATTTTTCTGGTTTCACCCTCAAATGTCAATTTGCTTTCGACTGGTTATTATCGAATGAATATTCATGGTACGGTAAAAAAAAATCTGGAACCCATGCGAATGCTTATGTTTATGCTAACTGACTGCTGTTAGAGAAATGAGACCTTGTGCATTGCATTTCGACACCAAGATACACCTCGATGACTCGCTGGGAACGTCTTCACATAGTATGATGCGTTCCAACTAGGAAATGTATGATTCTTCGCGAAAACGAGCCACTGAATTATCGAGAAAGAAACAAACTAAAAAAACTTGGGATGTTAACGTTTTATTACTACCCAATATTATTTTTCGCGATGTGATGAGAAATGCAATCATCATGATGCTGTAATATTTGCAAAATTTAGACCCTAAGCCAGATCGAACCGCGATGACTCTTGCCGGGGGTCACGTGTTACACCCGGCATCACTGAGGGCCTCGTTCTGTCCTTTTCTCAGCTAGCCCTCTTAGCCAACGCTGTTATCAGCAATCACCTGTCAACGGGATTGATTTAGGGAGAACAAATTGGAATTGAATCCAGTTAAGTTGATACTGTAGCCGGAATCACAATGTTAACCTTTTGCTTACTGCCTAATAAATGGATTTAATGCCGATTTGTGCTCTCCAAATCAATCCCGTTGACGGGTATTGCGGATGGAAGCATTAGGTACAAAGAATTTTTGAGAGAAAGGCAAAGCAAGGACCTCAATGGTACCGTGCGTTACACGTGAGGCCCCGAAAGCGTGATCGCAATTAGATCTCGCCAGGGGTCCAAGTTTTACAAAAAATGTGAAATGTCATAAATAATTATTACTGAATCCAGCAAGACCACTATCACCTTAACTTTCTAACCGATTTCTCCGTCACCATTTTGTTCAAGTCAAAACACGCCTCTGTAGGAGTCATACAATACGAAAGTATTGACGGCTTCTAAGTTGCAGCAAGAACTATTATAGTCTGAAAATCTAAGCTTTCAGAAAATTCTCCTCTTTGACCATGACTAAAATACAATTTTCTGGAAGCCATGACATTGACATCTTCCACCTCATTCATTTCATTTGGAAAACAAAGGCAAATAAACAACCCGGATTTCTTCTGGTACGACATGACGATGCTCCCTAGTACATCGTTTACGTTCGCACTTGCCTCTTTTCCTCTAGAAATTTTTTTAAAAAACTTAAACTTCACTACCAGCTTTTTGGAAGTATTGATTCTAAACGTATCTGCATTTTAAGGGAGATTGTATAAAAAACACATACGTAATTAGTGCGATGGAGCAAAGTTTCTTCTATAAATCTGCAGAATTGTGAACTTTCAAAGTACAACGGAGGTGGAGAAATTACCGTCAGTTACCGAAAAACCCTTTCAATCACGAAGGGTTAACAACATCGCTCCAAGAAAATAACATTAAAACACCAAACTAGTTTTAGAACACAGGATAATTGAATAAAAAGGATAAAACTCTCGGTGCTCATCAATCCGAGGTATGCGCCATGCATTCGACTTCATTAAGCATCGCTGGAGGTGACTGAATACATATCTGACCTTAACAATGACTCGCGGTAGCCTACCGATATATCGACTCAGTGCTGCTATCCTCTCAGACAAGTCTGGTAAGAATTTTCTGACCTCGGAATTGCAGAGCGCTTCCGACCACTGCGCTACACGTGCCCCCATAGAATGATTGCCACACAATAAATACGGCAATTTTAGAAAATGATATGCAAGTTTCTGCACGATAGCGAAATACCTTTTTGGAAATAGCCAAAAAAACTGGAAGTGGAAAAATTCCAGAGATATAGAGGGTTTCGTTCATCATTATGAAAACGTAAAACTTGACCATATCCTACCGTCTGCTTCCACAATATTATACAGTCAATTACTTAATGCGGCTCAAAACCTACTTTAAGGATTTGTTCAAGAGTTTCTTAAAATTATGTCATGTACCAAAGATTAGGACTAAACAAGCTAAGAAATCTGCTGTATTATGTTGCCAATATGTACAACAGTACATACAACATCGTGTAATAAAATGGGAAAAGCAGTGCGTAGACCTTAAGAGCTTTTTTCAGAATGCCATCCGCAAAACGACAAACCGATGAAACAAAATGAAAGAAGAAAAGCTAACGAAACATGCCTGGTGTGATACAGTTGGAGTCGAAACGTTTTTCAGTCGGCACGGCCTCACCCTTTCGTATGAGGGCTTGTATTTGTTCTTCTGCAGTACGCGCAGACCTTTAGAAAATGCTACAAGCCTCGGAGAAGAGAACATAATTAAACGAGAATATAAAAAACGTTGCATTAACAAGCCGCTCTATATTAAAACACCTTTCTGTACAGACCTTAGTTCTTTGCGATCGAGGCAGCATCCTTTCTGTAGTATTGATTTTCAGCTTTCAAAAACTTAAAGAAAAACGGGGTTTGTGACGCAGTGGTCGGAGGCGCCCTGCAACACAATGGTGGAATCGAACCCCATGCCCATGGCCACTAAGCCATCTATCCCTCCGGGATCGGCAAATAAAGTGGTACCAAGCTTGCTAGGGAAGGTAGCAACACTGACTCGATACATCGGGAGGCCACTGCGAGTCATTGTAAAGGTAAAATATGCATACATCCACCTCCAAACGATACTTAATGTAAGTTGAATGTACGGAGTATTCCACAGGGATTGATCAACGCCGACAGCTTTTGGCTTCTAAAAACTTAAAGAACAAAAATGCTCAGCTACTTTCTTGAACGATTAGTACATAAGGCAATAAGAGCACAACAGACCACTAGACTAACTATGTCCAACAGTTATTAGAGCCTACGAACGGTTTCCCAGTTCATGGTAGCTGGGAGATGTTCCTGGGTGTCGGGCTGCGATGTACAGCGACGATACTCATCACCCGGCAGGGTCTCCCAAACTAACAAAGAGTCCCGCTTTTCTATAATGAAGCCTAGCTGAGAGTAAACCAATAGAAAGAACGAACACCGTCCTAGTATCAAACTAGTCGCATGGTGGCAAATCTCTCTGATCCACAAGGGCGGCGACTGCCTGTGGTGTTGACGACCTGGTGCTGACTTTGGCCAGGCTGACCTCGGGACTGTTAGGAAACGGAACGGCCGAACCAGCAAAACTACGAAAAATGGAGAATGTACTGAAATTCGCAAAACCGATGGGGACGGGCCGTCCAAGTACCCAAGTAAGTTATTAGAGCAGATATCTAACCTTGAGCAAGAAGTAGAGAAGTGACGTCTGCTGTTCATCAAAGGGATCAGAAGTGAATTACATTCATCAAAACTGGGGATTACAAGTACAACTAACACACTGTGGATACGGATTTCTGCAAATCCGCTGCAGAACGCTAAATGCTTGGAAGTTTCCAAGTGGAGGCACTGAACAATTCCTGATCACAAGGCATTTAATTTACCAACTATTTCTATTATTTGATATGCGAGCTGCTAATGAATGCTGAATTTCCTATGCGAAATAAACACAACTGAAAAACTGACATGAACCGCCTGGCTCGTTGTTGATTCATCTTCGCTCTGGGGGCCACACCATCCACCGCAAGGAAAAACACTTTCTTTGGACGAATAATGTTAAAGAGGGTCTGAAAGATGTAAATTATATTGCCGAAACTAACATCAGCTAGGAATCTCGTAGATTTACGTCAACGTAGGCAAAAATATCAGCGAAAATTTGTTCCTGAGGAATTCGAAGCATGACGTCGCTATCATCGGGGTGCGAGCAGTGGTGTATGATTCCGTTCATATCCAAGTAGAGGTTGTCAAACTCCGGAATCTTAACGACACCAGAAAGTGCTGCGATTTTCGTAAGATCGATGAGTACACCAAATGACGAATAGGAAAACAGGAAACCTCTGAGTCAACTATGACTTCGCTCAAACACGGATATCTCTCTGAAATCCATCGGTAAAACTTCGGCACGCCCATTTCTGAAATCAAGACCATCATCAAATGAAGTATCAGTCTAGCTCTAGTACAGCAATACTACGGAAGAGAAAGAAGAGAGACAGCGACAGTCACTAAAGAATGGGTTTCCCTCTTACGAAGGTCTAAGAAAGAACATGTACATGTGCCGAGCATTCTCAAGAGTGGAACGAAAAGTTCCACAATCGACATTCAGTGGACATCACGTAGAATAAAAGATGAGAAAATCGTAGTCGCCCATTACGTCCGTTACCGCATGCTGAGAAGTAGTCGTGGCTGATATTCCATTACGGACGAAGTCAATTTGTACAATCGATGACGACTATAAAACAGATACACTCATACAGGACATTTTTATGTGAAGTGAGCAAGTTTCAAACTCTCCAGTCTTCAAATTCGACAAAGAACTTTCCCCGTGAATGTGGAAGTTCGATGGTTATCTTCCAGTTGCATTCCTATGTGTCTATTATTCATTTCGCCCAAATTCTATCCATCAAATTCACATGTGTAAGTTGCACAATGGACAGGGTTCAGTCCCTAGGGGTGGGTCAGTACCACAGTTTTTCTTGTACTCGGATGATGAGTTTTGTTTCAGCAGATCTCTCTAACTAATTTGGAGTTTGGAATCTATATTGGTCAAATTTGTGCGCATCTAGCGTGGTTATCAGCAGTTGCCTTGTGATACACACGTTGTCATTGTGTTCGGTTACGTACAGTGGCCCCGCCAAGAGTTCCCTTCTTCTCCGATCGCCAAGTGGATACCATACTTGTCTGAAAGTTTACCCAGAGTGTCTGGTATAAGGGCGCGTGAAGCGCAGTGCTCGGAGGCGCCCTGCAATCCGCATGGGATCGCCCCGCGCGCTCGTTGATTTCCAAGCCTTCCATCCTTCCGGTGTCGGAAAATTAGCATCAAAGTTGTTTGGGAGGATCGCAGCGCTAGCTCGATGCATCGGTGAGCCATCGCGAGTCATTATAAGGGCGAGGTATGCATTCAGTCAAGTCTAACGATTCTTGATGAATCTTGATGAATGATGAAGTCTAACGCATGACGTATCCCTCAGGGAGTAATCGACGCCGAACACTTTGTCTTTTTATCCTTTATTTGTTAAATTTAATCCCAGAATTTACCGTAGTGTTGGCGACTCCCAGTTTTTGCCAACAACTGTGTCTCTCTCTGTATCGAATGTAATGGACGACTTCACGAAATGGTATATCTATGTGGGCACTTTGCCCTGACACCGTAATGGTGCGAATAGACCTTCTAAAATGTTAGTTCAATTTTTTTTCAAAACTTCAGCTGAATGAGCTTTTTTTTTCAAGCTCATGTTGGCTTAATAATCCAAGAATATGTATTCTTTCTTGATAAGCTTGCACGAGGTTGATAAATATATTTATTTTCGGCTAACGTTTCGACGTCTTCGTCTTCCTCAGAGCCGATGATCCGAGTCGAAGGTCCACGCTTGTTGTTCATCTCGATATTGATTACATATTGATTAGTCGCACCGAGGTTAAAGGAAAGTCGGTTTCGAAATAATCCAAGAATATGTTGGCTTAATTTTTAAACTTGTTTAGAACTCATTTTCAAGGAATCGAAAGCGAAATTTAAATTTCTGAATTGTTTAAGGAAAGCAAAACAACTGAAAAGATCAACGATGAAGTGTAGAACATCATCACTCCTTGCTCCAAAAAGAAAGAAATTCAAGTGCAAGCTCACGACTGGCTGAGAAATGGAGATGAAGCTCCCGTAGTTGGTCGGTCCCTCGGTGAAGCGCCATGCAACCGACCTCATCGAACGTCGCTGGAAGCCGTTGTATGCAAATCTGTTCTACACAGAGATACTCGCGGTCGCCCACCGATTTATCGAGGCAGTGCTGGTAACCTCCCTGCAGGTCTGGTACCAATTTACCGAAAACGCAGGGATGGAAGATTGGTGAGCTTGAGTGCGGGATCGAACCTGTGTGCGATGCGGGGCAACTCTAACCACTGCGCTATACGCGCCCCCACTGAGATTTGATCGTTTAGAATTGAAATATGCAGTTGTTTTCTGATTGCCACTGTGTCATATCTGAAGCATTATGCCTGAGATTGATTGTATACTTGATACTTGAATGGCCCCTCCTCACTGGTTGTGCGGGTCCAGCATAATCTCCATTTTTTCGGAGATTTGCTAGTTAAGTCATTGTGGTTCTCTGGAATCCCGAGGTCAGCCAGGCCAAAGTCTTCCCCAGGTTTTCATCAGCACGGGCAGTCGCAGCACTTATGGATCATTTGCCACCATGCCAGTAATTTGGTGCAAGGATGGTGGTGGATTCCGGTATTGGTTTACTCTTAGCCAGGTTTCCCGACAGAAACGCCGGACTTCTTTTGAGTTTGGGAGACTCTGCTAAAAGATGAATTCCTCCGCTGTACATCGCAGCCCGACACCCAGAAATGCAGTTGCTGGTGGAAAATAAGTCTTCGAGCCAGCTCTCGACACCGAATAGCCACTAGCTCTAAGCAGAATGCTCGATTTCGTGAGAAGACGCACGAGGAGTTTTCGTAATTGCCACAGGGCAATGCCTCAAACTTGGGTGACTAAACCGTTTATATGCATAAATACGACACAAATACAACAGAAATAACGATGGAAAACACATTGGTATAAGAATAAGCATAGCTCAGGATTATGAGGTGCTATAGCTACCAATGAAGTGAGGCTAATAAGGCTACAACAGTTAAGGATACTACTATAAAATTAATACAGTGATAATAACAACTTGATGACAATGGTGAGTAAGGGGATGCCGATGATGGCGCCCACATTGGCGCGTACTGTGGCTATGATGCCGATGGCTAGAACAACAGAAAAGTGAGATGAAGACGAGCCGTGCATTAGAGATCATATTTACAGCGGCTAGGTGTACTTTGGCATTAACCGATGATAGCAAGTTGCCTAAGCATCGATGGTGGAAGTGACTACGAACGAAATGAGACATTTGAGGAACACAGTCAGGCGGATGGTCTTGGATAACGATATGTCTGCAGCGTGAGGTTCGAGCACCGATGGGTGCCGCCATTGCCTAAGAGGTAACTTAGGCCATAAATAATGCAACTGAGAACTGATAGCCGACTATAGCAGCATAGCATACATAGCATAAGTTGGCCGGTCACCGGCCTTGTACGCTTGGCGTACAGTGTGGGAGGAATGTGGCACGAGGATGAGGATCAGGACGATGATGAGGATACGCTGGACTGATGGGAAGCGTAACGTAGTAACAATAATGCGAAGTGAACGTACAATTCGCAACTGTTATTAAATAATGATGAAATGAAGTTAATGTACAATTCGCGATTGTGCTGTAAAAACGGTAGAGTGAAGCTAATATACAATAATGACCATATGCAATAGGAGTTAACAACTATGATAATCTACGTAGGTGACACACGAGACCAATAGGGAACAAACGAGGATAGGGGACGAGCACGACTAGTCGACGAACAGGGGTGAATCAGGATAGTAATTTCACGTAGCTATTTATATGCTTCTTGAGAAGGCTGTATTTGGCACAGGTCCAGCATCTTTACCGAAAACGTTTGTCGGCTACCGTTTCCAAATCCTCTCAAAACCAGAGACCAGGTGGCGGAAGACTGCTCTCGCAAATATCCTCATGCCCTTAGTGTTATTGCACGCGTGATGACTTTCTGACAGTAATAACAAACAACGAGTTCAGATTGCAAAAATAGGTTTGCATAACAAGACTGTTTATAGCGCTCGAAGTTCCTTAAAATGAGATCAAAATATTTACGTACTACGACATTTGCCAGGCAACTTGAGAAACAATGGTTATGTTCCTTACTATAGAAACATACAGTAATAGAAAGATAGAAATAGATACAGAAAGAAATAGAAACTATTCTGGGAATAGTTGCTATACACAGGAACACCTCTCAGCCAAGATGAAACGGTAAACCGTTGGGAGGAGATTCATTGTATACAATTAATAAATAGGTGGGGTGACAAAGTAAACAAAAAAGTTGTCTTGTGTACAAACACACTTCACGTGGTGGTTTGTCTTGCTATACAGAGCTCCTTTACCGTAGCTTTTGTATCAAATTGGTGGTCTGCGCATTAAATGTTCAGTCATGAAATGAGCCTTGAAGAGCTGCACTCCATAAGTGTTTCCATAAGTTTCAATTTCAAGTTCTCAACTTAGCGTAGCCAGACGCGGCAGCCAAACAGAATTGAATGTCGAGCGTTACGTGTTAATCCCGAAGCAGTATTAGAATTTTTATAAGATACTAGTAAAATTGATTTTTCTAATGACCTTTGCCGGGAGAAAAGAATGCTCCGACACACGTATACGACTCATCAGTGAAACCACCTTGTGTACAATCGATCGGAATTTCCTTCCGATCGGAATCGACGGTGGTCAGAACGAGCTGGATGGTTCTGTGATTACGCAGAAGACATTATTCGTATACCTAGAGTGTTTGGTGAATATGGAGAACAATATGAACGAGGCAGCTAACAGATCTAGAACTCTCCTCTCGTATTATTCTGTTGTTCCCCTACCGCCCTGCTACGCAGCAGCGTCATAGGTTGACATTTCAACAAAACCGAGAATTTTACACAAAATCTACAGAGGCCTTGAATGGTTTCTTCTGGAATACAATCGGGACACAGCTTCTGACACAACTACCGGATTCAGACCTTCCGAAGTCATTCGATTTTAGAAGTCCGCGATAATTCGCATCGAACGGAAACATAATGCTTACTTTTTATTTTTCTGTCTACTACAATTTTTACGGCATGATGCAAGCGAAATGCAACTACAGCGATGCTGAGATATTTGCAAAGCTCTAGACCTCACGTGTTTGCGTTGGGAAACGAACGCGCTGTCACCATTTCCAGGTGCTAACGCGTTCACCACCACTCCATGCTGGTCCTTCGTTTAGCCTGCCTCTCAGCTACTTCTAGCGATCAGTGCCATCAGCAGCCAACCGCCAACGGGATTTATCTGAGGAACCCACATCGGCATATGCCGAAAGGATAAAAAAGGAAAGATAATCGAAGGACCCGCATGGTACAGTGATGAACACGTTAGCCCCTGGAAAGGGTAATAGCGCGTTCGTTTCCCACCGCATACACCTGGAGTCCGGAGTTTTGCAAATATCTCAGCATCGTTGTGGTTGAGCAGAAACATAGTGGGACAGGTCGTATGATCAAAAATGTCGATGGTGGATAGAATTAAAGAAGATCAGACTACAAAGGAATCTGAGGGTGCTTTAGAATGACCATGTGCGGACACGTTTATAACTAGAAAGAATCCACCTTCTTCGCTTACTAACCAAAGACGAGGTTAACAAAAAAATTTATTTTTGGCTAACCATTCGATATCTTCGTCTTCTTCAGGGCTGGATTGAACCGAGTCCATATGGCCTACAGGTGGTTGTCCTGGTGATATGGGTCTTCGCGGTCGTATCCAGTCGTATTCAGTGAAGTGCATCACCAATCGAATGAAGAATCTCATTCAACGGTAAACACATAGAAACTCAATATTTTTGAAAACGACTTTGAGGAGAAAATTAAAACAAGATTGTTGGAAAGACTTTATCGACACCCTCAGTTGAAAATGACCATGGGCTCCTATCGCCGTTGAATGCCGGCCTTTCAACCATTCTAATTGTACTATAGATGGTTTGTGTGATTATGAGTAATTGAAAAAACTTGGTTTTCAATACTTCGACTAATAACGAATAAAAGGATAAATCTTTCTGCGTTGATCAACCCCTGAGATATGCGTCATGCATTCCACTTCATTAAGCATCGTTAGAGGTGACTGAATGCATATCAGGTCTACATAATGACTCTCGATGGCCTACTGATGTATCGAGCCAGTGCTGCTATCCTCCCAGACAAGTTTGGAGCCTGGGCCGCGAGGATCGATCCCATGTGAATTGCAGGGTGGTTCCAACCACTGGGCCACAAATGCTGAGCATTAGTGATATAGTCAACTTTTTTGAGACTTTTTTGGTTTTGATAGTGTATGATATATGTATGTATATATAATATCACAAAGTAATCAGTTTTTTTTCTGCTTATTCTTTTTTCATGGTAGGGTATGATGTGAAATATAACTATTATAAAATGATAGTAAAATAAAATAAATTGAACTACAATGGAAAGGAAAGGGCAGTAAATAAACAATGAGTACATTCTGATTTATACTACAGCTTCAGCTTAAGTGGATTCATTTCCAATTTATGCTCTCAAGTCAGTACTTCCACCCTCGCAGACAAGTCTGAAACCATCCCGTAGTGATGGAAGGCTTTATAAGCTCGGCACGCGCTAGAACCAATGACAACACGTGTATTGGAAAGCATCTCTAACCACTACGTTTCAGACGTTCCATATATGAAACATAATAGAAGTGAAATCGCTAAAGTAATCCAAATCGTTAATTGTGTTGGCGTGAACCATTATCATCGTCGAAATGTTCTACTAACAAATTCTTTCAGTCGTGAGTAGAGATTTAGTTAGTCCATGGCCAAACCATTCCTAGATTCTTTTTGGACGAATTTGCAACCGCAATGAGGAAGTGAACTTGACAGGCTTAAGGGTGCCTCGGTTGAACAGCAGTTCCTATAAGATTTTACTAAGTGACACATTACTGAGGTGGGCTACTTGGACTTCTTCGATGTTCTGCGCATGTTGGTTTCTCCAGGCTCAAAAGTCAGATTTTCTTCTTTTCAAGCATCATGCTCTGTTCTTAACACATTGACTACCGTACAGATTTTTAGCAGCTGTTAACAAGTTTTCGATATTTAACGAGACATATTTGTAGAAGAGCATTCGCCTTATTGTTCTAAGGGCTCTCCTGTAAAGTGTAGCTTTCATTTTAAACTTAGAAAATCTTTTAACGTGAGTACAGCAGCCGCGAACATGAAGAATTCACACTATTGAAGAATTCACTGCATCATATTCAATGGAATTTGGCTGGTTACCCGCCTTGCTACCTCAGCTAGAAACCTGGACGAAAGAAAAGAAACTGGAAAAAAACTAGAGTTCCATCGCCACAGAATCTTTTTTTCGCTTTAGATTTCGGTGGCTTTCCCTTTTAGCAGTTGAAGTCCGAAGTGTACGGATTCCCACTTCTGTGTGGATGAGCTGATTGGCCAATGTGAATTGGCATCAACTCACTTATTTTGTGGTCATTCATTTTATCCTAAAAAGGTTTTAGCTGTTTTTTGCGTTTAACCGATACCTTGTAGATCGTCGCACTAGACCTCGAACCTGAGAATCTATTCCCTGCGCCCAATAATTTGCGAAAGTTGTTTTCTGGACGAGTTAATTTCGCTAGCGAAAGACTGTTGGTGTTCAGAAAAGTACACATTAAAAGAACTGTTGCTGATCAGTAGGGTGAAAAGGTATCTCTGTTGTATTTAGACATTAAATTTCAACACTTAGAGACACCTATTCGCTACAATAATGTGGAAAGTCATTGAAAACACTCGTGTAGATGTAGTTATATGTACAACGTCACCAAAGCTGTTGTTTGTAGAGCAGCTTAACGCTTACTTGTCTTTAACTGTTATTGTGGTAACATTCTGTTCACGCACATGGAAATGAGCGATAACAAGCTATCAAAAAAGCGGCTAGCTTATGCAGCATTAAGATCGCCTTATCATCATCCACCACTCATATGAAGGAAACAGGTTTCCATGACGGAGATCCTCTCTAGCGTACTTGTTCAGTTGTTAGCTTTTGAGATTACCGATTCTCTTTACAATCACTCATAAGTCATCCGTATAAGTCTGACATGTCGCACCTGGCTGTTTTTACACGCCTCGAAATAATTCAGCCTTGCATCTTTAAAAAGTACTTTTCAGCTTATAGTAAACATTCTTGATTAACTAGAAAAAATCCAAGCATACATCACCACATTACAAAGCAAGTTTTCTAATGTTATCAAGAATGGGGCACACAAAAATTCTTAGGAGCTAACAAACAATAATATTTTTGTTGAAGCTCGGACTTCGAAGTGCAAAGGGTATGAAGAGACGAGAGTTCGCCCTCTAGGAGGGTGAACAATGAAACATCATTCTTACCGTTGTCGCCTACCTTTGGAAATTTACACTTTTGAGATTCTTTGTTGATTTTTAGGATTTGGATTCTAAATGAAACTCGAAATTATAAGCATACATTGGAATACTCGCACATGCGTTTTGAGCGGTGGATCAAAGTTTCTTCTATAAGTCTGGTAGGTTATCATCTTCTCATGCACTTCGGCCGTCTAGTAAGTTACCAGGCATTGTAGATAAACCAGTGTCGACCATTATCGGTCGACCATATATGTCGTTGTGAGTTGATAGCAACTCATAGCAATTGTATTCTTTCATTGATAGCCTAACATGTTGTTGATTTTCAAAAAAAATATTCGGTTAACGTTTTGGCTCTTTCGCCTTCTTCAGAGCTGGATCGATCCAAGCCGATTGTCCACAGCTGTTCCTAACTCCGATATAGGTTTTCTTGAATTTTTTTATTAACCTCGTACTAGCTTATCAATGAAAGAATGCATGTTGATTTGTCATGATTCCCGTGTGAGCAAAGCTCCGACCTGAGGACTTTGTTTGCTTCATGACTGTTGCTCAAAATCTTTTCGAAATCCGAGCGTATTCTTGCCAGAGTATTCCCGTGCCCAGGAATAGCCTTGTTGACCCAGGATGGATCCATCCAACATACGTGTATTGAGGGCACCTTTAAACAATGCACTTTCCGTGCTCACTACATTTAATTCACCGTTCTGAGATACCAGTCAAAAGCCATTTCCAGTACTCACTCCGTACGCTCTCAAACAAAACGGTAAAGTTTCTAATATTAACATTTCATTTCGCTGGATCCGTTACTGATTGCACAAAGGTTTCGACGTGGATAGAAGCCCTGAAAACGATTACGGTCGCTTGCACCTACTGCCACTGACGGAGACCCTTCGAAAGTGTAGATTGGCTCTGATTCATGCACAGCGATTCGAAAGTTAATGAAAGAAGTAGTTGTAACTGAAACCACTACTGAGATACTGGGCGCCAGACAAAGGCCGAATTTATCTGGGATTATTTGCGTGGCACATAATATTTATCCATTTCCTTAGCACGCTTAATAAAGCGAGCTCAAATAACAATAGATATCTAGACCAGTTCAAATGCATACACTTTTTTTGGTTTACATAAGTAAATCGGGATCAAACAACGGCTATTTTTTCACATCAAATATAAACTATTAATAATGAGAAAATCGATAATCCCATACGGAAAGATTTTCGTTCTCTAACGTTTTACAGATATGTGATCTGGATTATGAATAGAATTCGAAACTTAGCATTTACACTCTTTACATGAATTTCTGCACTTTCCGTTGAGCGCACATAAACGCGCACACTCAGACAGCTCCACTCATCCGCACAAATGCGCACATTGATTTCACGCAGTTACGGTAGCTGAGATGCGTTAAGAACTTAACAAAGCCTCGATTGAGAAGGAGTTTGTGCTAGGGGTGGCGGGTGGAGAAGACTTAATGAACAGCGAGAAGTCGAGTTGACTGA